GTTCAGTTACTTCTGGGCTCTGGAACTGAGCCCCAAGGGGAAGGGCCTGGACAGCGCCCAGGTCCCTCTGGAGTGCAGCCCACCCACCCCCGCCATGACCAGGCTGTTCCCAGGGCTCGCTGGCTCCTGGGTCTGGGTGGGGGCGGCCCCCCGCCTGAGCCTGTGCCTATTCACCTCCTAAACCACCCCCTCCCACCCTTCCTGAGAGGCCCTGTCTCTGTCTGCCCCCATATGGGCCCTCGCCGCTGCTCTGGCTGGGAACCTGCCTTGTCCCCTCTGCCCTGTCCTGCTCGTGTGACCCCCTGATGGGGACTGGGACAAGAGGTTTGGCCCAAGTGTCGGGTCGTCTGCGGGTACCCAATCATCCCACAGGACCCTGGCTGCTGGGGCCTTCCGGGACTCAACGGTTGCAGCTGAGTCCTGGGGGACCTGCTTCACGCAGGGAACATCAGGAGATGCCCCCCACCTGCCCTCCTGGCTACTCGGACACTGCGTGGGTGCTCCCAGGGCATGACCCCCAGGTCAGTGGCTGCCGGTGCCCTCGCCCCAAGCTTTTCTGCCTCATCTCACGGCCCCAGGGACTGTAGAGAGAGCCTGGACTGGGCATTCTGCGACCCCTCACCCCACAGAGGAGACAGATGAGGCTCTGTGTCCAGGCACGTGGGACAGCCTGGGGCTCAGTGGGGAACTCAGGCAGGAAAGTTGTAGAACATGCACCCAGACCACAGGTGACTTTTAAATTCGGACTCCTCGAAGTCACGTCGGCCACGAGAGCCTCATTGCAAAGGTCTCAGAGCCTCTGTGGCTCGAACCCCCAGCTGGACCCGGCAGTGTAGACTCTCCACCTATCCCAGAGCTTCCTGAGTTGTAGACGCCTCGCCTGGGCACGGGACAGAGCCGGCCAGGTTCCTTTGGCCTGGCGGCCCTGGCTCCCTTCAGATCCACCCCCCACACACAGGTCTCTCCGTGTTGGGCCCCGTTACGACCTGCCACCCCTGATGGCCGTGCCATCATGCCCGGGGTCACCGGCTCCTCTTTGGGTCTGTGATAAGAATCCCACAGTGGGTAGGGCGCTTGCCTTGCACATGTTCAACCCGGGTTCGATTCCCAGCATCGCATATGGTTCCCCGAGCAACGCCAGGAGTAATTCTTGAGTGCAGAGCCAGGAGTAATCCTGTGCATTGCAAAAAAAAAAGAAGAATCCCAGCAGGAGTCGGGGCTCAGCGCTGCTCTGTGCCTGCTGAGAGCTTTTGGGCATCCGTGGCCACTTGGGTTCTGTGGGGTTTGCCTGCCAGGCACTTCTCCTCTGACCTTCGTGGAAGACAGCACCCGCCCCTCCAAGCACCAAGCCCACAAGTGGCCGTGCACAGACACCCCTTGGCCACCTGCCCGGTGAGTGAGTGCCCGTCAGTTCCGAGGTGCCTGAGAACCTGGTGGGGGAGGGGAGGGCGAGACAGGAGAACGGGGTCTCGGCCTCACCAGGCTTGGTGGGGTCGTCAGTGGGACACCAGACTCCGGCCTTGGGCAGGCACAGAAATCCAGATTTCCTGGGGATACCGAAGCTCCTGCTCGCCAGGGGCCCCCATGATGATGGTCAGTCAAAAGGCAGTTGTCCCCTGCACCCCACATGCCCGACACTTGGGCCGGGCCCCTCTGGTTAGCATGTCCCTGTCCAGCCTGCACTTATCTTCCTGCTCATCGGTCTGGTTGCCAGGTTGGAAGCTGGGGAGCAGGTTCTGGACAGGCCATCCGGGGGCAGCCTCTGTGGCGCGGCCCCTCCCCCAGCCCCGGCTGAGCCTCGGTGTCCGCAGCTGGTGGCCAGGAGGGGCCCGTATGAGGCCTTGCTCCGGGCCTCGCCAGAGCCCCAGAGTAAACAGATCAGGTTTCCGGCATGGCCAGCGAGCCGGGGCCACGGCGGCCACGGGAGTGGAAAAGGCTCTGGGTGACGCAGCGCCGGGCTGGGGGGAGGGGGAATGGTCAGCTGTGGGCTCCTGTGTACGTCCCCACACCGGCTGTCATTCTCAGTTTCCCCAAAAGCATGCAGAAATCAGACCAAGCCAGTGCAGGCAGCCCCAGCATGACCAGCGGAGGCCTGACCTGCAGACCCCAGCATGGTGTTGACGGCAGCCGGAGTGGGCCGTGCCCTTTGGCCTCTGGCTTAGGAAATGTGGCTGCTGTTTTGGGGTGCCGGGAGGGAGGGATGGAGGGAGAGAGGGAGGGAGGAAGGTGTGAGGGCAGGGGGTCAGCTGGGGGCCAGGGCAGGACGGAGGAGGTGGCACTCAGGTGACCAGCCGCCTGTACTGGCCTGGTCTCCCGGCGACAGGGCAACGGCGGGCTGGGCCAGCCCAGCCCCGGGCCCCAGGCCAGTCAAGTGTTTTCAAGACAAGCTAAAGGGACTGTGACTTCCGGCTCCAGTGGTGGGTCAGGGCTGGGGGCCAGGAGTACAACAGGGCTGTGGGTGTGGTGGGGACATTGTTTCCACTGCTGCATTCTTGGACAGGTGTGGTGTGTGTGTGTGTGTGTGTGTGTGTGTGTGTGTGTGTGTGTGTGTGAGTGACTGCAGGAGTGAGATGTTTGTGTCTACAGGTATGTGATGGGTCTGCAGGTATGGGGGGAGGGTATGCGTGTGTGTTTCTGCAGGTATGTGTGTGCAAGACTGCCCACTTGAGACTGCAGGAGAGAGATGTTTGTGTCTGCAGGTGTGTGATGGACCTGCAGGTGTGTGTGGGGGGGGAGGGTGACTGCAGGTATGTGTGTGCAAGACTGCCCACTCTCGTGTCCAGGCCACCAGAAGGGGGACCTCCCTCCGTAGAGGCCTGGAGTGGGGGGGCTCCTCACCCCGCTCCCTGGGTCCATCCATCTCCATGGCCTGGGCAGCCGGGCTGGACAAGGGCCAAGTGGGGCCCCCTTTCCTCTGGGGGTCCCTGTACTCAACTCGGCTTCACCCCCAACCCCGCTTCTGTGTGAAGGAGGGTTGGGGGGTCCAGCTCTCAGCAGGTACCTGAAGTTGAGACGTTGGTCAGGTACAGAGGCTCCACCCGCCAGCACACCTGGGTGGGCGGTCTGCCATGGGATGTGTCCTCCTAAGTTCCCAGCTGCCGTCAAGGGAAGCACGTTTCTGTTGGGGACCCAGGGAGGTTGAGAAACCCAGGGCTAGAGAGCAGGAGGCCGCTAGGGTGCTGCCAGCCTTACCCCTCCCCCAGCTTCAAAGCCAGAGAAGCCCCCACCCCCATCCCCAGCATTTGCGGGGGCGGGGGGTTGTCTGGGCATGACCCATGAAGCAGCACAGAGAGAGAGAAGGTCACAGGACTGGAGCTCCTGCTGTGTATGCGGAAGCCCTCAGACCACCCCCCAGACAGCCTTACCCACCACTACCACCACCTCTGGGACTGCGGCTCCCATGGGTCTATAATAAACGGAGAAAGGCTCCCAGGCCCATCATGTGCCGTTGCTCAGGTTGTGCACTGCCCAACCCCAAGGTGGCATCATGAGGTCCGTGAGGTGAATGCCTGAGGGTTATGCTGAGGCTCCGGTGCTGCCCGGGACCTCCCCTCCTCGGCAGGGCACAGTCTGACCTGCCCTGACAGGGCGGGGAAGGAGGGAGTTGGCACTAACTGGAAACGGCCTAGGGCCAGGAGCCAGTGCTGGGCTCCAGGTCTGCATCTTGCCTGAGTCCCGTCCCTGACACCAGTCCCAAGCATCGACCAGGTGGCCCTGGTGGCCCCCAGCCCCGCGGGCTCAGGCTACAGTCACCCTTGGGGCCCTGTGAGCACCGTTTGAGACTCAGAGGAAAGGAATAGGTTTGCCCTGGACCTGGAGGAGGGCTGCGGCCAGCCATGGGGCGTGGGCACAGAGCCTGGCCGTGAGGGTGCCGGACAGCAGGAGAAGGACACGCAGCAGCTGGTGGGGCTGAGGGCCACGAGGCCACCAGGCAGGGTGGCGCGTCAGGGAAATGATCTGGGCTATTTCTGGAGCATCATCTTCCCACGGCTGCTGTCCCCGGGGCCGCCCCCTTGCCCGCGGGGACCCGCTCATGTCAGCATCGCGGTGCTGGGGGCCGCACAGGGGTCCCTCGGGGTCACCATCTGCTGCTGTCCCGGGGCAGCAGGGCCCAAGCTGTGATCTGGGGCCAGGAGAGCCGAAGACCTCGCCGGGGTCATTTAACGCATCCTGTTGGGTTCTGGCAGGCTGACTGGGCGGCCGCCATCAGAGTCACAATACCAAGAGCCTCATCACCCCACACCCTCCATGCCCCTCGCCCCGGGCAAACCCCAACTCGCCCTCCGTGCCGTAGCTGGCACCTCTTCAAGGATGTTCTATTCTGGTTTCTTGAGCTTGGTGAAACTCAAGTGACTGCTCCCCTCTGTCCCAGCAACCAGAAATCCATCCACCTGTTCGTCTCCACAGTTGGTGGCCGTAGGATGTGGGCAGGGGACCTCCAGTTTGGGGTGACACTGGGAGCCCCTGCCCCGCAGATCTCTGCAGCCTTGTGTATGTTTCTCTGGAGCAAAAGCTCCCAGGCACCCGGGTGGGGGCTTCAAGACAGCGGCTCGAGGCGCTGGCCCTGCACTGCCTAGATGCCCTCTGGGGTCCTCGCACTGGGCAGTTGTTACCCCTGGGCTCTGGGCCTTGCTGGAGGGGTCAGGGGCAGCCACTGCACCCCGTTTGCATGCCCAGCATCTGTACCTGCACTGGAGCAGGGTCGGGGCATGAAGATAGTGGCCAGCCCAGGTTCTACGGGACCCCCGGAAGCAGCCTTGGCAGTAATGGGGTCTCTGGGGTCTTGTTCTCCCTAAATGCACTGGCCCGCTCGTCTGAGCGAGCTGCAAGCCGATGGCAGAGGATCCAGGGGGGACAAACCAAGACCCCACAGCAGGGCCCTGGAGACAGGCACCGCCTGAGTGCAGACCAGATGGCCTCAGGGACCCTGGAGAGTGGGGGTGTCTCCCAGTGGGTGGCAATACGGGTCTAACTTCATGTCTGTCCGTTTGTCCGTGCAGGTGCAAGTTCTTCAGTCTGACGGAGACCCCGGAGGATTACACCATCATCGTGGATGAGGAGGGTTTCCTGGGTGAGGCCCCTGTGCATCCCCAGACCCTCGCTGAGGACAGTCCACACTCCTTGCTGCCCGCCGTCCGCGATTCCCGCCTGTCTCCCCGCTCCTTGGCCAAGCTCTCAGCCCCACCCTCGCAGGGCCCGGCTGGAGGCCGCCCCCCAGAGTAGCCCCCCACAGTGGCATCACTCTCCAGGCTTGTGGCGGGGGGGCGGGGGTGTGTGTGTGTGCTCACAGGGGTCCCCACTCTGCGGCCTCCCCCACACTGGGCCCAGCAGTCACAGGCTGCCCTGGGTCCCCCAGAATTGCCGTCCTCCGAGCACCTGAGCGTGGCCGACGCCACCTGGCTAGCCCTCAATGTGGTGTCAGGCGGCGGCGGCTTCTCCGGCTCCCAGCCCATCGGCGTCACCAAGATTGCCAAGTCGGTCATCGCGCCGCTGGCCGACCAGAACATCTCGGTGTTCATGCTGTCCACGTACCAGACAGACTTCATCCTGGTGAGCCCTCTGCCCTGTGGGTGTGTGACTCCCAAGCACAGGGGCCGGGCAGAGTCCCTGAGCACTGCTGGGAGGAGTGGGGGGCGCCAAGAAACCAGGGATGGGAAGAGGGGCTGATGTGGGGTGTGAGGCATCCTGCCCCTCCCTGAGGGTCCACCTGGGTGGAGCTGGTCTGGCCGGGGACGGTCCCAGCGTGTCCGTCGCACCAGGTACGTGAGCGGGACCTGCCCCTGGTCACCCACACGCTGTCCTCGGAGTTCACCATCCTGCGGGTGCTCAATGGCGAAACGGTAGCAGCCGAGAACCTGGGCATCACCAATGGCTTTGTAAAGCCCAAGCTGGGTGAGTCGGGGGGGCGAGGGGTCCGTGCCAGGAGCCCCCAGCCTTGCCTAAGCACTGAGAGGACACGGGGGGTGGGGTTGGGGGGGCACGGGCTCAGGGAACAGGGGGACACGCAGTCCCACCCCTTAGTGCCCGCGTCCATCCCCGCAGTCCAGAGGCCCGTCATTCACCCGCTGTCCAGCCCGAGCAACCGCTTCTGCGTCACCAGCCTGGACCCGGACACGCTGCCCTCCGTGGCCACACTCCTCATGGACGTCATGTTCTACTCCAACGGGTAGGGGGCTACCCCGCACGGTCTGCGCCAGTCTGCAGGAGGAGGGCCCCGCCCTTCCTCGGGAGCTCCCAACCCGCGGGCAGGGCCCTGAAAGAGGAGGTGGCCCTTGTGTCTGGACCGCAGGCTCTGTGACCTGCCCTAGGACCAGGGGCTGGCAGGCCATCCTGCTGCCCCACGCTGATGGGTGGTGGCCGCCCCTGTGACTGCTGGGGGGGGGGCGGGGGGGGGGGGCCTTCCCGCTGCAGCACCGGGCCAGGCTAGGTGGGGGTCCGGGTACTAGCTTCATCCACTCTCCTGCCTGCAGAATGAAGGACCCCCTGAGCGCCAGCGACGACTGTGGCCACATCCCCTTCTTCTCCTTCTCGCTCATCGAGGGCTACATCTCCCTGGTCATGGATGTGCAGACCCAGCAGAGGTGAGGGCTGGGGGCCGGATGGGGGCACAGCGCAGGTGAGGGGGCGGGGGTGAGCACAGACACCGACGAGGAGGTAGGTGGAGGTGCTGACAGGCTTGTCGCCCCCCCGCCCAGCCCGGCCTTAAGCTGACCTCACTGGCTGGTGATCGGCATTGCCTGCGGGTGTGCTGGGGGCTCCCGAGACCACCCCGGCCTCCAGGTCTTCCTGCATCCTGCACCCCTTCCCAGAAGTGGGGCGCTGGGTCCCACCCTGAGGGCAGGAGTTGGGGGTGCTGGCCCGGGTCACAGGAAACTCACCCGTCTGCTCTCCCCAAGGTTCCCCAGCAACCTGCTCTTCACCAGCGCATCCGGAGAGCTCTGGAAGATGGTGCGGATCGGGGGGCAGCCCCTGGGCTTTGGTGAGCCCCCCTCACACCCCCCACCCAGCGCTCTGCTTGTCCAGCGCCACTCAGCCAGTGCCCTGTGGTGGGGCAGGGGGCTCAGGGCTGAGCACAGCTTTGCACCCAGGAGGCCCCAAGTTTTATCCCCGCGCTGCAGGGACCCCCCAGCCCTGAGCCAGGAACACCTCCAAGTACCGAGCCAGGGGTAACCTCCGAGCTCTGCAGAGGATGGCCCCCCTAAAGGGGAAACTGAGACCTAGGGAGCCTGGGTCCCCCCTGCCCGCAGTTTAGGGACTAGTGAGCAGCATGTGTGTGACGGTGCCCGTTCATCAAATCAGGAACGGTACAGGGCCAGAGCCACGTCACAGAGCAGGGACCCAGCCTCAATCCCCAATCCCCAGTGCCATGCAGGGTCCCCCAAGTCCTTTCAGGAGTGATCCCCCCCCCCCCCAAAGGCAACTTTGTCTGGAAAGAGAGTGCCCGTCTCCCAGTAACAGCCCCAGGCGGGCACAGAGGCTATTGAGTCAGGACGAGCGGCAGGGGAAATGCATAGCCCTAGCCTGCTGGTGGCAGCAGGCATGGGAAGAGTCCAGAAGATTCTAGAAGATTCCAGAGCAGTAGGTTCTACATGCTCTTTGGGGGGACCCGCACCCGTGAGTGCCCAGGGCCAACCCCTGCTCTGGCTGGCAGGGCTGAGGGGACCATGTGTGGTGCCGGGGGTCCATCTTACGTTGGCACACCAGGTGAGCACCTGTGCAGGGCCCTGGCATCTCCTTTGCTGAGGAAGGAAATGGGGTTCACCCGCCCAGGCCCCCTCAGAGAGCATAGCTGTGTCCACCACACGGCGGCCTAGACGGCCAGCCCTGGAACTGGGCTGGGGACTCACTCAGGACAGTGGCAGCAATCAGAGCAGTGACTTGCGGTTTGGATTCCTGGGGCCTCACCCGGCCTGTATGGGGATGACCCCGGGTGGTGCTGTGTGGATGCAGGCAGGGGCTCCTGCATGGACGGGGGGCGCTGCCTGAGAGCCACAGTCGGGCCAGGGGGCAGGATGGTCAGTGCTCGAGCCACGGCGGGGGTTTGTCGGTCCCAACACCAGGAAAAGGGGTTCTGAGGAGGGCTGGGGTGCAGGGGAAGAAGGGTCACAGGGTCAGCCCAGGCGCCCACCCACCCTCGGGAAGCTGGTGAGGACAGGGGTCAGAGAGGAGGGGGCAGTCACCACCACCCCACGCGGGCCCACAGCCCCCCCAGCCCTGGGAGGACTCTCCGGAAGGAAAGCCGACGGGGACTCATGACCCAGAAATGGACAGAGGGTAGGGCCCAGGCGGTCCCGGGGGGCGGGGCTGCTCGCGGGCCTCCATGACAGGCTGGTCCCCGCAGATGAGTGTGGCATCGTGGCCCAGATCTCCGAGCCACTGGCTGCCGCCGACATCCCCGCCTACTACATCAGCACCTTCAAGTTCGACCACGCGCTGGTGAGTGGGGTGTGGACAGTGGGCAGTGGGGTGGGGCTCCCCGGGGGCTCACCAGCTCGCTCGGCTCCCCCGCCCACCCCAGGTACCAGAGGAAAACATCCACGGGGTCATCAGCGCCCTGAAGGTCAGCCAAGCGGAGAAGCACTAGGCGGGAGCGGGGCCCGGTCCCCGGCCGCCCATGGCCCCCCCACGAGGCCCCTGCAGTATTTCTCAACGGACTGGAAAAGGGGTCCGGGGCCCCTGAAGAAGGAGGGTCCTGAGAGACGCCCCAGCGACGCCATCAGGCTCAGGACCCCGCCAAGGCTGCCCTGTTGCCCTCCCCAGGAGCCCCCCCCTCACACAGAGCCCCCTGCCCCCCCACCCCTCGGTAGAGCCTCATGGCTGAGGTCCTGGAGCACGGGGGGCCACAGCCGGGGGGCACGTGCCTAAGGCAGTTAGGGGGGTCCCATCCCCCGGAGTCTCGGGGCAGGAGTCTGGGGTGGGGAGCCGTGGCCTCCTAGTATCCGAGGCCCCCAGAGCCTCAGGGCTGCACCCCGACTCCCAGCAGGACGGCCGGGGGAGCTGGGTGAGCGCGTGAACTCCTAGGACCCCTGTCAGCCTGACCCTGCTTTCCTGGCCTCCATTCCCCTGCGTGGGGCTCCCCAGCACCCTGCGCCACCCCTTCTTCCCCACCGAGGACTAGGCCAGCACGGGGGCCCCGGCACCCGGCCCTCTGGGACCCCGGGACTCCTGAATGAGTGAGTGGGGGGGAGGGGGCAGCTCAGCTGAGCCTTAATTGAGAACGGCCCCTTCCTGTGCCGCTGTCGCCCGCCTGTGTCCAGCCACCGTGGGCAGCGTCCGTCTGGGGGGGGCGGGTTTGGCAGGGCCTGGGGGCACAGCCTCGGGAAGGTCACAGGAAGTGTCTTGGCGCTTTCAGGTAGAAGGTCGTGTGTCAAGTTGGGGTCCCCCAGACACCCCCAAGCCAGCTGGCCAGGGGTCTCAGACGGGCAGGGAAGGGCGGAGGCGGGATGTTGGCTGGGCCGAGGTGTGTGGGCCCCTGGGAGTTCTGACCCACTTCCGGGGAGAGGAGCTGCTGGTGGGGTCGTGTGGGCACTCAGCACCCCGCACTGAGGAGGCATCCTCCGTTTCCCCCCCTGCGCACACAACCCCCCCTTTCTAAGTTGATTCATTTTGCACAAAACAACCAAAACGTGTACATTGTTTGCTGGTTCCAAAACAGGTGGGGCCGGGGACACTCTGTGCCCCTGATCCCTACCTGTCCTTGGAAGGCCTTGGTTTGGGGGGGGCCACGCCTCTCGGAACTCTTCCCCCAGTCCCCCTCCCCTCCCACCCCACCCCACACCCTGCCCTGTGATCCCAGCACCGACCGCGTGGCCCCCGGCCCCCAGAACGTCCTTTGTACACATATAAATACCTGTGTTCTGTGTGGATATGGGCATATACTGTACATAGCATCTATACTGAGCAATATATATGTTAATATATACTGTATGCGCACGCGTGGGGCGTGCAGGAGACCAGGGGACCCCCCCCACTGGGCCCTGCACCCTGGGGTGGTTCCTTCTTAATTCAAGTATAGCGGCAATACAATGATGGACTGATTGGACGCATGGGGCCGGCCCCGACCCCCAAAACCAGCAACCAGGCCTGAGCCCCGGGGCAGGCCAGCAGTGCCCCGCCCCCCCCCCCGCCCCATCTTCCCAGCCTCCCTCGGGAGCTGCATTCAGTGGCCCTTTTCTGCACCCCCGTTCAATGGCTGAGGCCACTGGCCTCTGGGGAGTCTGCTCTTAGACCCAGACGGAGGAAGAGTGCAGGTGAGCAGAAGGCCCCGGGCCCTCGCGCCTACCCCATTCCGTAAGGCCCCCCTCCTCCAGCTGTCTCCATGGTCACGTCCCACCGGCACGCGCAGACTCAGGGTCTTGCTCCCCGGGCTGCCTCTGGGCCTCCCTCACAAGAGAGGTCCAGGGCAGGGAGACTTGGAGAAGGAAAAGCGTCCTCAGCCATGGGCGTGGTCCCCGCTGCCCCAGCTGTCTTGGGGGAGGGGGGGTGCCAGACCCCAGCCCCATTTGGAGGGGTGTTTGTCAGTCTGGTGTATGCCCCAGTGTGGCTGAGGGTGTTGGGGGTGGGGTATAGGAGGTGGTCCTGTCCCCCAGTGATGGCGCAGTGAGGACCAGACTCGAATGCCAAGCCCAGGGTCCCCACCAGACCACTCTCCGCTGGACCCCCAGCCCTGAGCCCAGACAGGCAGTGCCAGCTCCATCCTCCAGGGGTGCTGCCCCCATCACTGCCTTCAGCCCAGGGCGCGTGTCCAGATGGGAGGGCGTGCAGGACGCCCAGATGCGGGGAGCCCTGTCTCCCCTCCAGCCACCAGCATTCTCCCCCCCCCCCTGCCCCCCGCCAGCCCCGCCCCTGCGGGTTGGGAGTGAGCAGCCCGCGTGGAGCCCCACCACGCAGTCTCGGTACAATGGCGGCAAGCAGGGCTGGGGCCACCATGTGCCTGACCGAGGGGCCTGCCCGGCACCCCCTTCACCAGACTTCCCGGCCAACTTGGGGCCCCTTGGTGGTCCTCTGGATCTAGGGAACCCCTGGGGGAGAGACGGAGGGACTCTGGGTGCTGTTTGGGCAGTGAGCGAGGGCCTGGGCATGTGGAGGCAGCGTAGGTGGTGTCCCCCGGCCAGGGGGCCACGGGACAGCCCTAGTCTGGGGTATCCCAGGCAGCTCTGGACGGCGTCCCCCTGCGTCCCAGTGAGGTCGTGTTGCATGTGACCCCCGGTGCAGCCTCTGCTCTGGGCCGATGTCACAGGGTGTGGGGAGGGCACAGGTGCAATGGACATTTGGGGGGTGGGGAGAGTCTGGACATGAGTTCCAAGTCCCCAGTCCTGGGGGCCAGGTGTGGGGTTTGGCCCCTTGTCGGGTGGGCCGCTTGGTTGACGCAGTGTTGGTGGGGCACGAGAGTGGGAGTCGGAAGGTCAGGCCCCGAGAGCCCCCGTGTTGGGTCCTGTCTGCTGCTCAGTTTACCAGAGAAGGTCCAGGAGTAGCCCCCAGGCGGGGGGCGTCTGGCAACCAAATCCCAAGCTGCCTCCCCTCCCCCCCTGCTCTCTGCCAAAATCATTTCCGTTATCCTGAGGTGGGGGTGCGTGGAGGGGCGCAGTGGGGCGGGCAGGGCCCAGGCGTGGGGAGACGTGGGCAGCCCCGCACCAGTCCTGTGTCCTGGCCGGATGGACACACCCTTGAGATCCATGTACTGTACGTTGGAGAGAAACCCCCCCCATCGTCCCCCCCCAAAGACAGTATATTTTGTACTTTGTAAAGTGTTCATTAAAGTGGAAGAAACAGCACCTGGTGTGTCTGTTTGCACGGTGGGTCCCTGATCACCCATCTTCACACCCTGACGGGGGCGGGGGGCGGCGGCGAAGAGTCGGGCACAGGCAGGCTCACAGCCCCACACCCCAAATCAGGGCAGACGATGCCCAGAGTGCCGTGGGGGGGTGGAGGGGGGTGGTTTGCACTGGGATGTTGTGGTTCAGGCTGCGGTCAGAGCCCACAACGGGGGCGCAACGCCCTGGGGTGCCCGGGGGCAAGCTCCAGGCTGGTGGGCGCTGCTACCACCACCCAGCTGGGACCCGAGGAGGCCACAGCGGCCCCCCGGACAAAGGCCAGGAGGGCGCAGGGTTGGGGCTGCCTAAGCACACAGCCGGCCGCAGGATCAGCACCCGGGAAGCCCTGAGGAGACGACAGCTCAGCCGCAGTCTGGAGGACGGGGGAGAGAACAACCGCAGTGGGGCACGTGCTGGCACACAGCAGACCCGGGTTCGATTCCCCGGAACCCCATTTCCCGCACACACAGCCAGGAGGGATGCCCTGAGCAGCACCGCTGGGTAATTCGGGAAGAAAATCCAACAGATCGGCTGTGGAGCTTGGAGACAGGACAGCGGGGGGGGGGGGGGGGCCTGGTCTTGCACGTGACCGACCTGGGGTCCCCCAAAGTCACTAGGAAGTGATCCCTGAGCACCAGCGGGTGTGGCCCCCCAAAAATGAAAATCTGTGAGCTTAGCCTTGAGCCCTTCTCCCTTTTCCTCCTCTGGGTGGGTGCACCCCTCCCTAAGGTGCCCTTCCTCCCCTCTCCCTCCCTCATTTACATACATCACCCAGTGCCCAGCAGGCCTGGGGGCCCCGCCACTGGCCCCCAAATGGCCCCTCTGACAGCTGCTGGCATCCCCTCCCCACTCAGGCTTATTTCGGTTTTGGTTTGGGGGGAGCTCAGGGCTGACCCCTAGCTCTGCACGCAGGAATCATTCCTGATGGGTTTGGGGGACAAACCCAAACGGGGTGCTGGAGGTCGAACCAGAGTGGGCTACGCACACGGTGCTTACTGCTGTGCCGTGGCTCTGCCCCGCAGCCCTGGTTTGAAACGCCACGTTCTTTCCACTTGGACTTGGCTCCGCTCCAGGCTCTGTCTGCAGATCCCAGACAGCGGGGGCCAAGTCGTGTCACGGTATCCCTGGGGACCAGAGGCAGGCAGACGGACGGACAGACAGCCTTGAGCAGCTGCCCTGCCTCGCACTGTCCCTGAGGCCTGCCCTCCACAGCCCCCTCCCGTGCGGCTTGATGAACGGTGCTTGGGGCCCATTCAGGGCCTGGAGGTCTCAGGAGCTCATGACCCACTGGGGATGGATCAGGTCCCCGGAGATGGTTTTCGAGGGACTCCCTGGGCTGGGCCAGCAAGAAGCTCTGGCCACCCTGTGCATGGGGTGCCCCTGCCCCCACCCTGAGCATGAGGGAACCAGCCGGGCTCCCCTTAGGGGGCAGCATCTGACTCCCAATGCTCACATGTGCACTGTGGGCGCTTGAGACCGGGGCGGGGGTGGGGGGTGCCCTGGGCTACAGCACGCGCCTGGCAGAGGATTGGGATGGTTCTTGGATTCTGCCACCACGGGCTCCCCCAAGCACAGCTGGCCACTGAGCTCGGATCACAGCTCAAGGCCGGGGCGCGCACAAGGCGGACACTCCACTTCCAAGCGTGTTTTGAGTTAGGGAAGAGTCCTGCCATCTCCACCCACTGGGAGCGGGGGCCAGGAGGCAGTACAGCGGGAAGGGCACTAGCCTTGCACGTAGCGAACCTGGGCTCAGTCCCTGGTACCCCATCTGCTCCCCCCAACCCCATCAGAGGTCACCCCTGAGCCTTGCCAGCTGTGGCCCAAACAAAAAACTAGAAGAGAACCGGAGCACCCCCGGGGGGAGGCATGACCCGGCTGCTTCGGAAACATTCACCGTTTCAGGCCACCGCGTCCTCTGCCCTGTGACGAGCCCAGGGAGCCTGTCCTCAGCAAGTCCCCTGCCACGTCCCCCAAGCCCTGCCCCCCACTCACAGCTGTGGGGGTCCCTCGGGCAGCGCCTGCCTGGCATAGAAGGGGTACCCCATCTCTCATGGGATTACCAGCTTTTGTTCTGGGTCACACCCAGCGGTGCTCAGGGCTTATTCCTGGCTCTGCACTCAGGGGCTACTCCTGGGGGCCCAGGGAACCATATTGGGGTGCTGGGGATTGAACCCAGATTGGCCGCATGCTAGGCCAGCACCCTCCCATCTGTGCTCACTCCCTGGCCCCTGACAGTTAACCCGAACCTCCCAACTTCCTCCCGATTCGACTGTGGGACTGGACACTTCAGGCCAACATTTTCCAAGTAGCCTCTCTGCCTTCCTCGAAGCTTGTTTTTGAAACCTGAGACCTAATTTCTAAAGGATGAAGTTTAAAAAGGGAAAAAAAAAAATCTTTTAAGATTTCAGTTCTGAAAAACATCAGGCAGAAAATAGACTTTATTCCAAAGACGTTTAAAAAAAAAGTTTGTGAAGACAAAGACATGTTACCAGTACAACTGTTTTTCCCAATTTTCTGGATCTTTCTTCTCCAGGCTGGTATTCGGGCCAAACGTGTGTGGCCCTGTCTGCGCCCTCAGCCCACAGGAACGCGGCCCCCGGCCTCTTGCTGCGGGGGCTCCGGGGCCAGGGCAGGAGGAGTGGGGGCTGCAGTGGGCAGCTGACGGTGACCCCAGGATGAAGCCGGGGCCCTGGTTAAAGCTGGGGTGGTGGCTCCCCAAGCCCGGCACTCGGCTGAGGGGGGTGCCCTGGAGGGTCCTGCAGCTTCTCAGCACTGGGGTCTCCCCAACATCCCCAACCCAGCATCACAGCTTCCCGTGGGAGGGTTGCACAGGTCTGGGGCTGGGGGGCGGGGGTGTCAGTTCCTGGCCGGCGTCCAGTTCGGAGCCCACACTCAGATGAAAGACTTGGCCAGAGTCACCATGTGATCCACACCACAAGCCACGTCCACAGGCTGCCCCGGCATCGTCACCTGCAAGAGTGGGCCAGCGGGCGGGTGTGAGGGGTGTGAGGGGCTCCCCGCACTGCCTTACCCCATGGGAAGGGCCCGCTCCCCCCTGCTGCCCCTCCCCGGCACCCGCTGTTCACTCAGCTCCCCGTCTGGGTCCCCAAGGGACAGGTGCAGAGCCAAGGGACACCCTCAGAGCGTGACCCCACAGAGGGCTGCTCTCAAGCCAGGGGCCACTGAGCCAACACGGTTCCTCACCCGTGGTCCCTGCGGGGTTGGTCACTCCAGCAAAAGGCGGCCAGGGAGAGCCCTGCAATCAGTTTTCCCATGTGTGTCCGTGTGTGTGTGTGTGTGTGTGTGTGTGTGTGTGTCTGTGTGCGTGTGCGTGTGCGTGCGCGCTTGTGTAAATGTTTTGTATGTGTGAAAGTGTGTTCAGTGTGTTGTGTGTTCAGAGTGTGTGTGTGTGTGTGTGTTGTTCAGATGTATGTGGGTGTTCAGAGTGTGTGTGTCTGCGTGCTTGTGTAAATGTATGTTTTGTATGTCTTTGTGAAAGTGTGGGGGGGGCTGGAGCAATAGCACAGTGGGTAGGGCGTTTGCCTTGCACGCGGCCTACCCGAGTTTGATTCCCAGCATCCCATATGGTCCCCTGAGCATCACCAGGAGTAATTCCTGAGTGCAGAGCCAGGAGTAACCCCTGTGCATTTCTGGGTTTGACCCAAAAAGAAAAAAAAAAGTGCGTTCAGTGTATGTTGTATTTTCAGTGTGTTGTGTGTTCAGAGCATGTGTGTGTGAATGCGTGTGTTGTGTGTTCAGATGTGTGTGGGTGTTCAATGTGTGTGTGTGTGTGTGTGTGTGTGTGTGTGTGTGTGTGTGTGCGTGCGTGCTAGCCCTCCTGTCTCTATTCCCCTCACCAGCTCGGGTCCCCTGACACTATCCTTTGAGGCTCTCTGTCCACCTCAGGTTCCACCATCCCGCCTGGAGGCCGCACCAGCCAGGCAGCTTGACAGGCGAAAGTGCCAAGCACTGGGTGGAGAGGCTAGATCCAGGCAGCGCCAGCACCAGGGGCTTTGGGTCGAGTAGGGGATGTGTCCATGAAGGCCTCCTGGCCTCCAAGTGGACGGCCACCTACAGCCACCCGCCTCACCAAACTAATGTTCCTGCCCAACCTAAAGGAAGCACTAAAGCACACGGGGCAGGGCCGGGAGGGGACAGGACTGCAGGGTAAGGGGAGAGCCGCAGAGGGGCACAGCAGGGAGCAGGAGCTGGAGAGCAGGGGTCCGGGTTTCCCCTGGGGCATGGATGAGGGCCGTGACCCGCAGTGGTTACCCCCTAAGCTTCTCCTGGCTACTCTCAGCTCTGTGGAGCTGCTGGGACAGGGTCACGCCCCCTTCAACAGCTGTCACCCCCACCCCCAAACCCTCCTGGCTTCCTTTCCAGAAAGATCCAGAGAGGAGTGCTCCGACACGGCAAGGGCGAGGATGTGGCATGGAGCCCGGGGCTCCATGCTCCGGGCCTGTGGTGAGGGGGATCAGAGCAGGGCCGGCTGCAGGCCTAAACCCTCTGGTCTTCTGCCCTGTATTTTTTATTTATTTTTTTAATCTCTTTTGCTTTTTGGGTCACACCCGGCGATGCTCAGGGGTTACTCCTGGCTCTGCACTCAGGAATCACCCCTGGCGGTGCTCAGGGGACCATACGGGATGCAGGGGATGGAACCTGGGTCGGCCGCGTGCAAGGCAAACGCCCTACCCGCTGTGCTATTGCTCCAGCTCCTGCCCCGTTATTTTTTAAATGATGTAACAAGTTTAATGGGAACTAGAGGGAGAGGGCAGTCAGGCTCCAGAGTAGAGGGCATCCCTGGCGGTCCTCTGGGATTTCTGACCCAAAACCACCCTTCTGCTATCAATTATAACATTTACTTCCTGTCCTTTCTTCAGTGTCGGAGATTGACACCAGGCAAAGCTTTGGGGGCCGGAAGGACGGTACAGCAGGGTGGACACGTGCCTTGCACATGGCTGACCCAGGTTCGACCCCTGGGCACCCCACGTGGCCGGTCCCCCAAACACCCTTGGGAGTGATCCGAGTACAGAGCCGGAAGTCAGCCCCGAGCACCATGAGGTGCGGTCCCGTCCAAACAAAGAAGCTTATCCCTGAGCTGCCATCCAGCCCAAAGGACTTGGTCTTGCACAAGTGAGTTTCAAAACTGAATTCCCAACTTCTCAGGCAGGAAAAGCCCCGCTTTACGCCAGGGCTTCCCCAGCAGCCTCTGTGGGGCGTGTGAGGACCCAGTTCTGGGCCCGGCTTCGGCCACACAGACTTGGTTTCAGGACAGTTCTGTCCTGTATTTGGAAAAAAGTGATTTTTTTTTTGTTTGTTTTTGGGTCAACCTAGCAGTGCTCAGGGCTGACTCCTGGCTCTGTGCTCAGGGATCACTCCTGGAAGGTTCAGACCCCTTCCAGGATGCCAGGTGCCGGAAATTAAACCCGTGTCAGCCGTGTGCAGCCATCACCCTTCTCACCATCCTATTGCTCCTTTTTTTCTTCTTTTTTTTTTTTTTTGGCTTTTTGGGTCCACCCGATGATGCACAGGGGTTACTCCTGGCTCATGCACTCAGGAATTACCCCTGGCGGTGCTCAGGGGACCTTATGGGATGCTGAGAATCGAACCTGGGTTAGCCATGTGCAAGGCAAACGCCCAACCCTACTGTGCTATCGCTCCAGCCCCTCCCTACATCTTTTCTTACAAGACTTCAAAAACCTGGGCCAGAGAGATGGCTCAAAGGCTGGGACACTGGCTTGACCAACAGGACCCCAGGGTGAGTCCTGGCACCAGTGGGTGCCTGTGGACCATGCTCCTACGCCCCAAGCATGGGCCAAATTAAACCCAGAAATGCAAAAACTGACAGACAAAGAAGAACCTAAAGTAGTGACTTGGTAAACATCACTGACACAAACTGCAGTCAAGGAAATCACTGTGCACCCATCAATCTCACAAGGAACCTTTTGTCGAACTCTGCCCATACACACACCCCGCGCAAGGCTTGCTGTGCGAGGCGTCCTGAAGGCTGTCTTCAGAGCTGGGGGCAAGGAGGGGCATGCCCTTTTCCTGCCTGCAGCCCGTCTCCTGTGCTGCCTCCCCTGCCCGGCCCTCTCCTCCTCTCCCCTGCCCCCCTCTCCCCTGCTCTCCTCTCCTCTGCCCTGCCCCTCCCCTACCCTGCCTTCCCCTTTCTCTCCTCTATCCTGCCCTCCCCTGGAGTGATAGCACAGCGGGTAGGGAGTTTGCCTCGCACGTGGCAAGCCAGGTTCGATTCCTCCATCCCTCTCGGAGAGCCCGACAAGCTACCGAGAGTATCCTGCCCTCACAGCAGAGCCTGGCAAGCTCCCCGTGGCGTATTTGATATGCCAAAAACAGTCACACAATGGAGATGTTACTGGGGCTGGAGCAATAGCACAGCGGGTAGGGCATTTGGGGCATTTGCTTTGCACGTGGCCAACCCAGGTTCGATTCCCAGCATCCCATATGGTCCCACGAGCACCGCCAGGGGTAATTCCTGAGTGCAGAGCCAGGAGTAACCCCTGTGCATCACTGGGTGTGACCCCCCCAAAAAAAAAACACAATGGAGACATTACTGGTGCCCGCTCAAGCAAATCGATGAACAATGGGAGGGCAGTGCTCCAGTGCTCCAGTGCCCTCCTGTCCTAGTAGAAAAGTCCCCGGCAGGCCAGGCCTCCTCTCAGCCCTCCCTCTTCCTGGCTGACCTGCGACAAGTCCTGCAGAGTGACCCCATGCGGTTCCCAGGGGTTGACCATGGCCGTGGCTCCCCACAGGGAGCACCAGGGGTCAGGGCCCGCCTCACCACCCTTGAATCTTGTGGGGACCCACAGTAAAGGATCCCACGGGTCTGGTGCCGCTGCCACCTGTGGGGACCCCCTCCAGCCCCCGGCCTTACCCGCCACGGGAAATACTGGTCCTCCAGGCGGCCGATCCCCAGGCACCCTCGGATGTTCTTGCCCCACACGAAGAGTTCGCCTTTGTCTGCGGGGGGTGGGGGGGGGAACACGAATACACAGACAGATGCACCAGTGGCCACAGGAACGGCTGGACGCAGACCCCACCCCTGACCACAGAACTGACCTGCACCCCCTTGACATCAGCCTCCAGTTTCCATAAGTTACAGCATTCTCTGGTTGGATTTGTTTGGGGGCCACACCCTGCTGTGTTCATGTCTTGCGCCTGGCTCTACACTCAAGGATCACTCCTGGTGGGGCTCGGGAGACCATATGGGGTGCTGGGGATCAGACCTGGACCGGCCCAGTTTATGGCATCTTTTTGTTTGTTTGGGGACCACACCAAACAAACTGGTCAGGGTGGTCAGGGGTTACTCCTGATTGCACTCAGGAATCAGTCTTGGCAGTGCCTGGGGGACCCTATGGGATGCTGGAGATCGAACCCAGGTCAGTGGTGTGAAAGGCCAACGTCCTCCGCGCTGTGCTATCGCTCCAGCCCTGTTTCCAGCATCTTAACTGGCTCACAGACAGAGGATGAGGAGAGACCAGCTGGGTCAAGCTCTGGTCCCAACTCAGCTCCCCGCTTTCCCTGAGTCTTGATTTCCAGATCGACTGAAATTCTGGCTGACATCGGTCCCTCCAGGAATGTGTTACCTCCCGGGGATGAGAATGAGACTCAACTTCAGGGCTGCCACAGAAGGGCCCTGAGACCCAGGGTCCGGAGAGTGGGCAGAGGGGAAGGACCCACCGTCTCTCACCCTCGAGGCTCAACCAATCATGGCCAGAGGCTGGAGCGATAGCATAGTGGGTAGGGTTTGATTCCCAGCATCCCATATGGTCCCCTGAGCACCACCAAGAGTAATTCCTGAGTGCAGAACCAGGAGTAACCCCTGAGCATCGCCAGGTGTGACCCAAAAAGCAAAAAAAGAAAAAGAAAATAAAACAATCTTGGCCAGACAAGATCTTTGAGCTGCGAGAAAACAGGGAATTTTCTCGAGAATCACACAATGAAGTTAATTTAGTGTCAAATCACTATCCAGACCACCAGGCAGCAGCCTTGCGGGAGCAATGGGCCCCTAGCTATGTCATCCAGGGACGGGTGCCCTGGTGGAGCCTCTGCCGGCTGACCAGGAAATGGGCTGGACCAGGCACCCAGTTGAAGTCCCACACACCCATTTCCCAGTGACCCACTGGGTGGCACCTGGGCACCACTCACGCCTCTCTCCCCGTCCCACCCCGCATCTGCCAGGGAGGAGATGACCATGAGCCCCTTCGCAGCAAACTGGCAAAGCTCCAAGTCCACCGGGTGGCCTGGCACTCACTGGTGATGGCAGCAAAGTGGCTGAGGCCGCAGCGAATGTGGGCGACCCGCACGTCGGGGCAGAAGTCCGTCAGGCCGAAGAGACTGGGCGGGATCATCTCGGGGAGGGCGCTTTCCACCAGCTTGGGCCCCTTGCCAAGGATCCCGTAGCCCCAGACGAACACCTGGCCGTCACCTGCACCACCATGGCGAGAGCGGCTGTCAGAGGGCTGGGCCAGGTGCAGCCCCTCGAGGACTTAACACCCCCAGCCACGGCCGTCCCCAGAGCTGGCCGGGGCACGCAGGCAGGGCGGGGACACAAGGAGCCCGTCTCCTCCGAGTACCCATGCCCGGGCGTGAAGGAGGCGCGACGGCCAGGCTGCCGGGGTGGACGGCACGGCCGGGAGGACCAGCCTGTCCCACCAGGACAGACGACAGTGCTGTGGAGACTCAGGAGCACAAGGCTGCTTCTACCCTCGTCGACCCCACTGCCCCCCGCCTCAGGGCAGCCATTAGTCTGCGTGGGGACACTGTGTGTGGCCTCCCCCTGCCCGCCCCAGACCTCACCGTTGAGCAGCGCACAGCCCGTGCCACCACACGCCGCCTGCTTCACCTGGCCCACGGCCGAGAAGGGCAGGGTCCGGGCTGTGTTCACCTGGGTAGAGGGGTGGGAAGGGGGGGCGCTCAGCTGATGGGCCCGGCTGACCGGGCTCCAGCCCATCCGGCTGGGAGGATGAGAGGAGCAAGGCAGCCCCCCACCCCGCGCATCATCGGGGCTCAGGTTCAAAGGGGATGGGTCAGGGGCACTGAGGGGGATCAGGGTGCCAAGGGGGGTCAAAAGTACTGAGAGGTGGGGCTGGAGCGATAGCACAGCGGGTAGGGCATTTGCCTTGCACGCAGCCAACATGTCCGACACACGTTCGATTCCCAGCATCCCATATGGTCCCCCGAGCAACGCTAGGAGCAATTCCTGAGTGCATGAGCCAGGAGTAACCCCTGAGCATCGCCGGGTGTGACCCAAAAAGCAAAAAAAAAAAAAAAAAGTACTGAGGGGGCCTCAAGGGTTGGGAGATGGGCCAGTCCTTCTCATTCCCCTGTCCCCATGGGACTCTGGAGGTCACACCCACAAACTGCCTCCTGGCTGCTACTTAAGCCCCTTAATGGCCATGATCCAGAGACACACAAAAGAATCTCCAAGGGGCTGGAGGGATAGCACAGCAGGTAGGGAGTTTGCCTTGCACGCATCCGACCCAGGTTCGATTCCCAGCATCCCACTGGGTCCCTCCCGCCGAGCACCGCCAGGAGTAATTCCTGACTGCATGAGCCAGGAGTAACCCCTGTGCATCACCAGGTGTGACCCAAAAAGAAAAAAAAAAAACTCTCCAAACCATGCAGCTTGCTGCAGAGATTTCTCCAGACCCTAGTTATCTACAATTTTAGAATTCCAGGAGCTTATACTACTCATAACGAAAATACACTCTTCATATACTATTCAATACAAAAGAGAGTACAGGGAAGATTGTCTGCCACAGAGGCAGGGGGAGGGATGGGATGGGGGGATACTGGAGACCTTGGTGGTGGAAGATGTGCACTGGTGGAGGGATGGGTGCTTAATCATTGCGTGACTGAAACAAACATGAAAGCTTGTAACTGTATCTCACAGTGATTCGATTAAAAAAAATAGAATTATTGAAATCTTAAAAAAAAAAAAGGGGCTGAGAGGGTCAGGGGTGCTGAGCGGGGTCAGGGGCACGGGGGAGGGGGGTCAGGGATCCTGAGGGGGGTCAGGGGCACTGAGGGGGTCAGGGGCACTGAGGGGGTCAGGGTAGAGGGGTCAGGGATGCTCACAGGGGTCAGGGGCACTGAGGGGAGTCAGGGCAGATGGGGTGAGGGGCGCTGAGGGGTTCAAGAGCCTGGTCTGGTTTGGGGGCAGCCTCACCACAGCAGGGCCTTTGTCCTTGGCCTGTGATGGGAAGAGGGAGAGGGGGAGGCCCGAGCCGAGGCTGCAGCTGGGAGAGCAGGAGTCACAAAGGCTGCCGTGAGGACGCAGCATTTCCTGAGCACGGGGCGGGGTGGGGGGTTGCCAGGAGGGCTCTGGGGGCCCGGGTCCAGCCGCAATGACAGAGGGAGGGGCAGGTGGCCAAGGGCAAAGGCCGGTCAGCAGCCGAGGGGAGGCTCAGGGGAGCTGGGGGGGAGGCTGGTGCTGTGTCCTAGCAGGTCAGGCGTGTGTGTTCTGGCCGTGCCCTGCACACATGTGCCCAATGCCAACCAAGACTCCACGGAAACCTTGGAGCGACCTCCAGTGCTCAGTGGTAAGATGAGCTTGGGGGCCCCCAGGACCTGCCTCAGAGGCGCAGGAGAGCATCCATAGGGGGTAATCACTGCCAGGGTTAAATGCCAACAACCGGCCGTGCGGGGGCATCCAGGGAGAGGCCTCCATGGCCGGGGCCAGGGCAAGCAGCCCAGCCAGCTGGCCCTGGGCGCAGTGACAGTGCGGCCAGCGGTCAGCAAGAAGGTGCAGAGCAGGGGCTGGAGCAATAGTACAGCAGGTAGGGCGTTTGCCTTGCAAGTGGCCAACCCGGGTTCGATTCCCAGCATCCCATATGGTCCCCCGAGCACCGCCAGGACTAATTCCTGAGGGCAGAGCCAGGAGTAAACCCTGCGCATTGCCAGGTGTGACCCAAAAAAGAAAAAAAAAAAAGGCACAGAGCAGTGGGCCAGGCCCAGCTCCGTGCAGGCAGAGAGCTGGAGAGGTGACCTGCAAGGAGTAGGCCCCAGAGCAGGCGGCCCTCGCTGAGCCATGTGGTTCCCAGGGAGCCATGAGCCACACTGAGCCTCACCTGGAGCACGAGGGCGCTCAGAGCCAGACATACCGCCACTGGGCACGGAGCTGAGCCCTGGGCCCAGCGGGTGGGCAGCAGGCCAGTGTGTCCCCCCCCACCCCGCCCTGTGCCTTCCCCCGCATCTTCCCCTTTCCTGCCCCCTGCCCCGTGCCCGTGCCCCTGCCCCATGCCTGTCCCCCTGCTCCCCACTCTCCGGAGCTGACTTGAAATAGCCACAGCCTTCTGCAGGTGCACCCTGAAACGGCAAAGGGGGGCTCGCTATGTCTAGGATCTGCTTCAGAATAATGCAGGACAGGGGCCCTGGGGGAAAGCACGCCAGTTCCGAGGCAAAAGCACCTGCCCTGCAAGGGTGAGACCACAAGTTTGATCCCTGTCACCTGCTAAGTGCCGTCTGCAGGGAGAGCAACCCTCTGCAACACAGAGACACCAGAGCCAGTGGAGTTGCCCAAGGCTTCTGTGCAGGGGCCAAGGCGGCGGGCGGCTACCCAGGGCCTGGCCCCGTTGCAGGCCCCCAGTCTCCTGTGAACATGGCCTCGAGGCTGAAGAGGCTGGGCACAGTGCACCCCGGGCACAGCACCTGAATCACCCCTGCTTCCTTCCAGGCATCCCTGAGCCAAGAGCTTGGTCCCTTGGGGGCAGAGACAGTACAGCAGATCAGCACCGGCCTCCTCGGCCTCGCATGCAGTTAGCCCAAATTCATCCCTGGCCCCACATAATGGTCCTGAGTCCTGCAGAAGTGAGCCCTTAGGGGCTGGAACAATAGCACAGCGGGTAGGGCATTTGCCTTGCAAAGGGCCGACCTGGGTTCAATTCCCAGCATCCCATATGGTCCCCTGAGCATCACCAGGGGTAATTCCTGAGTGCAGAGCCATGAGTAACCCCTGTGCATTGCCAGGTGTGACTGCCCCCCTCCCCCCCCCAAAAAAAAAGAAAGAAGTGAGCCCTGAGCACAGCTGGGTCTGGCCCAAACCTCAAGAACTTGGCCCTGAGGCCAGAGTGACCACACGGAGGTTAAGGTACTTGCTTTACATAATCAACTCGGATTTGACCCCTGGCACTCCACAGGGTCCCTGAGCCCTGCCAGGGCCCCTGAGCACCAAGAAAGGAGTCAGCCCTGAGCTCAGCCCCTGGAGGCCAGGCCTGAACCCCACTTCCCACACAGGCCCAGGAGAGACCCACATGTCTACCCCGGCTCCTACCTGCGTGGAGTCAGTGACAGAGGCCAGCTGCAGGTACTCCGAGTTGCCCCAGCCGAACAGGCCGCCGTCGGCAGACACAGCCAGGCAGCAGTCCCCATAGGTGGCAACCTGGATGACCCGGACTCCGGCGAGGTCCCCGGCCAGCTTGGTGGGGGTGCTGGTGATGTTGTAGTGGCCCAGACCTTGCTCGGCAGGAGGGACAGACTTGGTGAGTGACTCGCTCACCGAGCAAATACATCAGAACTCAGCCAGGCACCACGCACAGACCCAAGCACTTTACAAAGTGCAACTCAGGAGCCGAAGCAATAGGACAGCGGGTGCGGGGGTGCAGGTGGGCACACTGGCCCTGCACACAGCAGACTTGGGTTCAATCTCCAGCATGGAAGGGGAGAGGAAGGGGAGGGGGAAGAATGGGAGGGAGGGGGTAGAAGAAAGGATGGAGGAGGGAGGCGTGGGGGGGGGAGGTGGGGGAGGGAAGGGGAGAGGAGGTGGAAGGGAGGGGGAGGGGAGGGGAGGAGGAGGGGGAGGAGAGGGTTGTCATGTAAGGCAAGGGCCTCAACCCCCTGTACTATCACTACTGCCTCAAGAAAAGCACTTAAAAAAAAAAAGAACAACAGGCATAGGTAGCTGAACTCAGGAGCATTTAACTGATGCTACTGCCCACTGCAGAGGCTGATACTGCCGAGTCGAAGAACACAGAGGCTGAATCACTCGCTTTGCATGTGGCCAACCCTGACTTGGTCTCCAGTACCGGGTGTACATAGTCCCTTGAGCACTGCCAGGAGTGTTCCTCGAGCACAGAGCCGGGGGCACAGAGCTCTGAGGACTACCAAATGTGACCAAGACACAACCCCCACCAAAAAAAAAAACCCAAATGACTGCTCTACATTGTTGATGGCACTATAAACTGATAAAGCTTTTGGAAGGCAATTTAACAATCTAAGAACAATGACAGACTCTTGGCTTTTTGTCTGCTTGTGGGCCGCACACACCAGCAGTGCTCAGGGATGACTCCCAGCAGTGTTCAGGGGGATCATGGGGAGGGGGTCGGGAATCGAACCCGGGTGGACCCTGTGCAAGGTAAGCGCCCTCCTCACTGTGCTATTGCTTGGGCCCCCAGAACAATAAAAGATTCCTTGGCCCACTCCTAGGAACTTACTTAAGGGAAGTAAAGGAAAAGGCTCTCAGTAGGCAAGCAGGATGACACAATGTGCTTGAGGGACGCCCCACCCCCAGGCCCCCAAAATAGTCCACCTTGGGGGCACCGAGATAGCTCAGGAGGGAAGGCACTTGCCTTGCCTGACCCTGGTTCCATGTCCAGCACCACGAGGGGGTCACTCCATGAGCACAGAGCCAGGAATAGCCCCTGAGCACCAAGGGTGTCGTCCCAAAACAAACACAAACACGCCGCCTCTTGGCAGGAGGGGAGCGGACGGTCCCGGAGACTGTGTAGCGTCAGTGTTGACGCCGTGTCCAACAGTCAAACTCGGAGTCTGTCAGCTGCTCCCAGCAAAGCGCTTTGAGGCGAGCTGAGATGCTCGGCTGGCGCACGGTGCAGACTGCTGCGACTGCACGCGAAGGCACACCACAGGGATCATGGGAACAACAGAAAAATCATCATCATCATCATCATTTTTTAGGGGCTGGATCGACAGCACAGCGGGCAGGGCGTTTGCCTTGCACACGGCCGACCCCGGTTCCATCCCCAGCATCCCATATGGTCCCCTGAGCACTGCCAGGAGTAATCCCTGAGCATCTCTGGGTGTGACCCAAAAAAGCAAACAATAATAATTATTATTATTATTATTTTAAAAATCTTATCTGGTGGGAGAATCACAGAGGATTCGCTGGGGAGTCGGGGTTTTTTTTTGTTTGTTTTTCTTTTTTTGGCTTTTTTGGGTCACACCTGGTGATGCACAGGGGTTACTCCTGGCTTTGCACTCAAGAATCACTCCTGGAAGTGCCCGGGGGACCAAATGGGATGCTGGGAATCAAACCCAAACCCAGGTCAGCTGCGTGCAAGGCAAACGCCCTACCCGCTGTGCTATCGCTCCAGCTCCACGGTTTTCAATTTAGGGCTGAGATGACTCCAGGGACCAGAGTCACCTGCCTCTGGGGCTCCATCCCCAGCACTGCAGGGTTTCCCCACCCCACCCCCCCCGCCCGCTGAGTATGACCCCAGAACAAGAAATTTATTGTCTGCTGGGTTGGGGGAGTTGGGGGGTGCCTCCCCACCAGTGCTAAGGGAACCACGTGGTCTGGGGCTCAAACCCAGGGCTCCCACAGAAAAAAGCATGCACCCCCACCCTCTCACCCCAGCGGATAAAGTTAGAGCCTGCCTTCAGTCTACTATTTTTCAAAAGAAGATAAAATAAAACACGGATGACTACTAAACCCCCCCTCCTTCACTCCTTCCCTTTTTTAATTTATTGGTTGGTCTGTTTCTGGGCCACATCCAGTGATGCTCAGGAGCCTATATGGGATGCTGGGGATCGAACCCGGGTCTGCTGGTGGAAGGCAAACCCCCTCTCCCCGCTATGCTCTGGCTCCAGCCCCCCCCACCCGGGGTCCCCTTCCCGTAATCAGTCTCCCGCTCAGCCCCTCTGAGGGGCTCAACATCTCTGGTCTCTCTGGGAGAGGGGAGGCAGAGACCCTTTTGCTGGGGACTGACCAAAGCTGCCCCCAGAGTCTGGTCCATGGCCGGAAAGGGGGGGGAGGGGCAGAGGACAAGGGAGGGTAGCGTGCAGGGCCCGGGGCCCCACGAGAGCCCGAGGCCCTGTTGCAGGGGGAACACACTCACCTGTCTGGCCATCGGCGCCCCAGCCGCAGGAGTAGACCTCCCCTCTGTCGGTCAGGAACAGGCTGTGGTCCTGACCACAGGCCACCTGGGGATGAGAAGATGCCCTGTTGGCCTCCTGCCCTGGGACATCTCCTGTCCATCCCTACACTAACTGGCCAGCCGGGTCAAACCACCCATCAGGCAGCAGCCCCACCCCCGCGGCCCCGCCCCACCCACCTGGCCCCGCCCCGCCCCCTGGCCCTGCCCCCGCGGCACCCCCTGCCCACCTGCACCACGCGGCCATCAAAGTCCTGCATCCGATGCACTTTGTGACTTTCACTGCAGGCAGATTGGGAAGACCAGAGAGGGAAGCGGGTAAGCACTCTGCGGACACCCCTAATGGGGGGCCTCCCCCCACACACTGCCCGTTGGGGGAGGTCTCAGACCAGACAGCAGATGGAAAGAGGCCCCGAGGGGGGTTATAATGCACAACAAGCACTGAACCTGGTGTTCATTTATTCATTCATTTGGGGGGGGGGGGGGTTGGAGCTATACCCAGCATGCTCAGGGCTTATTCCTGGCTCTGCGCTCAGGGATCACACTTGGTGGGCTTGGGGGCCCATATGGGGTGTCAGGGATGGAGCCCTGGGCAGCTGAGACAGGGCTCTGGCCCCAGCTGAGGCTGGCGCATTTGGAGCCACCACCATCGTAAGAGACCTGAGGGCCACACCCAGCTGTGCCTCGCTGAGCTGCAGTCCGGAGCTTACCCTGCAGAAGAACAATCTAGGACATTCTGCTGAGCGCCCATAGTTCCCCCTCAAGACGGGGTGCAGAGAGAGGGCGGGACTGTCAACTCCCAGCACCCGCCAGGAGTGACCCCTGAGCACAGAGCAGGGAGTAGCTCCTGCTCCGTGTGACCCCGAAGCAACAGGACATAGGAAAAAGAAAAGGCCAGGACCCTGGCCCCCGGCTGGCAGGGTCTCCTGCGACAGGCTCTGGGGACTCACCTGTACACTTCACCCTCCACGACCTTCCGTCCACACTGCCCGTAAGAATTGTTTCCCATGCTGAGAACTGAGAAGCAACCCCAGTCAGTGGCATGACGGGGTGGGGTGTGGGGAGCAGCCAGTGCCGCCACTCACCCACGCCCCCCGGGTGCTCTCTCTCCCACCCTTGTCCGACCCAGCCCTCTGTCCACAGCCCACATGGTGACGGGGACCTGACTGGGGACGGGGCAGTGCTGGATGGGAAGCCGAGTACACAGCCACCCGGGGACCCCATGCAGCTCTCCGGGGCCATCCCAGGCCATTCCTGATAAAATGTCCAGCCTCACGGTCAGCGGGGGGCCCCGACCACATCTCTGGCCGGCCCCCACTGGGCCACTCACCTCCTTCGTGGTCAGTCAACACCAGGGAATGGGCCCGGCCGCAGGCCACCTGCACCACCCGTGTCTCCTGAGGCCGGTCCAGCGGCAGCGGCACGGGCGCCGGTTCCAGAACATACTCGTAGCCCCGCGCTGCAAGGAAGGACGGACGGGCAGCCAGACGTCGTCTTCCTCACGGCAGGCACGTGCTGGGGGACCCTGCTCTGCCCACCGCCCGCTGGCCTGAGAGGCACACAGGTCTGGCCAGGGGCACCGACACCTGGCATCATACATGTGAAGCACCTGACCATCCCTGACTGTCTGGGGTGGGGGTGGGGGTGGCCACCCCCACAGTGCTCAGGGACAGTCCTGGCACCTTCTGTCCCGTGCTGGGGGCCAGGTGGGTCCACCAGGTGCTCGCGGAGCCATGCAAGGCTGGGGTGAAACTCCACAGGCAGGAACACACTCCAGCCTCTGAGCTATCTCCCCACGCAACGCCCCCCCCCAAAAAAATTGATTTTGTTCTTTTGTTTTGGGTCCACACCCAGCAGGACTCAGGGATCACTGCTGGCGGGTCTTGGGGGAGCATAGGGAGTGTCGCGTATCGAACCCTGGTCGGCCGTGTGCCAAATACAAACGGACACCACAATCTGCCCTCTGACCTGGGTTCAATCCCTGACATCACAGATGGTCCTCTGAGCCCTGCCAGGAGTGACCCCTGAGCGCACTCAGGAGTTAAGTCCTCTGCACTGAAAACCAAAAAAAAAAAAAAAAAAAAAAAAAGTCTAAAGGCTGCTGGGATGGCAGAGTAGGGGGACTTTCACACACAGGGGCCTCTGCTCACTTCAGCTTGAGACCCGGCAAACAGGCTGTCCATTCAAACCAGAAAGCGTCAACACTGCAAGAAGTCAGCAGGGTTAAGTGTTTTAGAACAGGCTCTGAAGAGCTTTATTGTTCCGGGGCAGGGCGTGGCACAAGCCCCGCTAGCACGTGACCCAGGTTTGACCCCCTGGCCCCACAACAAAAAGAACTTGATTGTTTCCACTAATCCTCTGGAAGAGACTGGAACCTTCTAGAGAGAGCATCCTTGAGGCTTGACCAACCAGATCTGGGACTTTTTTTAGGGGGAGGGGACAGCCTGTGATGCTCAGGGCTGACCCCTGGCTCTGCACTCAGAGATTACTCCTGGTGTGTTCAGGAACCGTAGGGGACAGTGGGGATCAAACCTGAGTCGGGAGGGCCAACGCCCTCCCCGCTGAACTGCGGCTCTGGCCTCTCCAGAATGTTTATGTTGTAGACTGTGGTTCCTCTACACGTGTTTTGTCCCTTTCTTTCTGACTCATTTCGCTTAGCATAATACTTTCCATGTAGCACCACCCAAAAGGAGAGAGAGAACAAACGGGAATGCCCTGCCACAGAGGCAGGGGAGGATACGGGGGGGGGGGGGGGGGGGGGGGGGGGGGGATGAGGGGGTTGGAGGGATACTGGGATCATTGGTGGTGGAGAATGGGCACTGGTGGAGGGATGGATACTCGATCGTTATATGACTGAAACCCAAGCACAAAAATTTGTAAGTCTACAACTGTACCTCATGGTGTTTCACTAATAAAAATTTAAAAAAAAATGATGTGTGTGGGGGAGGGGAGTTAAAAAAAAAAAGATGTGTGTTTTGCATGTAGCTGAGCCTGGTTTTAAAGCCCAGCACTACAGAAGGACCCCTGAGTACCGTAGAGTTAGGTCCCAAACCTGAAGGAAAGGGTTGGGATGCCGATGGCAGAGCAGCCAGGCTCCTGTGTGGCTGCATGTGGGATACCCGGGATCCGAACTTGTGACCAGACGCTTGCAAGGCAGGCTCTAAGTCTCTGCACTGTTCCTGGAGGTTGTGTTTGACACCACAGTCATCTGGGGCAAGTCACTTTCCACAGGGGGCTTCCAATTCACCCGCATGAAACTGACTGAGCTCCGTGCCCCAGACACGTGGGATGAAGCTGACCCTAACCAGGGTGTCAATTCCTGGCTCCTTGCTCTGCAGTCTGGTGTAGACAGACGTGGCCAACGTGTCTTGTCCCAGAAATCGAGCAGAGGCTTTCCAGAGGCACCCCACAAACTAGTGTAAAGCCAACAATTTGCTAGTGAGAAATAGAGGGTTCATTCAGCAAAGTCCAGACTGGAAAATTCTATAGCTAAAAGATGGGGTTTCTGAGGCCTGAGGGAGAGCACAGGAGGAGGGTGCTGGCCCTGCATGCAATCAACCTGGCTCTATCCCTGGCACCCCACAGGGCCCCCCACGCACCACCAGGAGTGCAGAGCCAGGAGTAACCCCTGCACATTGCCAGGTATGACCCAAAAAGAAAAAAAAAGGGATATCTTTAATAAACACATTTCCAAGGGAAAAATAGATTTAAAATGAGCTTAAAAGATTTTTTTAAATGCTTTCCCTTTTATTTCTTAATATGAGGTGTGTTTTTCACAGGGGCCACACCTGGCGGAGTCTCGCCTGCACCCCATTGCTCCCATGAGACACAGATACGCAGATGCGGTGCCAGGAATGGAACCCAGAACCTCATTCCACATGCCAGACTCATGCACTACCATGTGAACTCTCTCCTGGCCCATAAGAAATTTTTGGTTGGTTTTGGGGCCACACCCAGCAGCACTCAGGGATTACTCCTGGTTCTGTGCTCAGGGGTCTATAGGTGGTGTCAGGGTCAGTCACGTGTAAGGCAAGTGCCTGAACCACTGTCCAATCTCTCTAGTCCCTTACAGCCTCAACATGTAAGGCTTCCATGAATTCTTTCCTAGGTATTCCCTAAACACCACTGAACCTGTGTCTGGGTTATCTCCAAGCTGAGGGTGAAAGGTCACCTCCTGGAGGCCAAAAAGGAACATCCTTTCTTATCAGCACATCCTTTTTGCCAAAAAGTTCAACATCATTACCAAAAAGTTTAAAAATAGGGGCCGGCAGGCTGTTTCACTGGCAGTGCTGGGGGGGGGGAGGGGGGGAGCCAGTAAGACCAGTAAGACCCCCTCCCCGCCCCAAGGGACCCAGCCCCAGTAGCTGAAAACCTCCAGAACCCAACCGCTGCCATGCTCATGGCCGCTCTCCACCCACTCAGGAAGAGCATCACCCACGAGTGAACCTATTCCTGGACTGCGCGGCCACATTTGCAGCCATGCGATTCTTTAAACCACACACCCTTACCCGTGCTCCAAGATTACTGCACCATATTTGATAGGGTTCAGAGTAGGAGGCAACCAATCTTAGAGTGAAATATACTTTTTTTTTTACAGATATATATGTAAAAAGCACAAAAGTCTCTACCTTTAACAACATGTAAGTAATCTCTTATAGAAGGGTTTAATGGCCTCTGGGTGAAACACAACGATTTTCATACTCTTTCCTCTAAGGATACTTTTTTGTAGCATTTTCAGCAGTTTTTCATGACAAACAATGCGAAATATATATTTTGGTTTTGTTTTGGGGCAGGAACTGGGGTTTCAGGATGGAAACATCCAAACTATGGCGGTAGGAAGGTATAATGGTGGTGGGGTTGGTGTTTGAATATTAAATGTAATGAAATATTGTGAAGTACTTTATAAAATAAAAAATTTAGGGGGCTAGAGTGATAGCACAGCAGGTAGGGCATTTGCCTTGCACGCAGCCGACCAGGTTTGATTCCCAACATCCCATATGGTCCCTCGAGCACTGCCAGAGTAATTCCTGAGTGCATGAGCCAGGAGTAACCCCTGTGCATCGCAGGGTGTGACCCCCCCCAAGAAAAAAAATATATATATAATAAAGGCCAGGGGAGTTGGAGCGATAGCACACTGGGTAGGGCGTTTGCTTTGCATGTGGCCGACCCAGGTTCTCTTCTCAGCATCCCATTTGGTCCCCTGAGAACCACCAGGAATGATTCTTGAGTGCAAAGCCAGGAGTAACTCCTGAGCATCACCGGGTGTGACCCAAAAAAAGCAAAAAAGAAGAAAAAATGGGGCCAGAACAATAGCACAGGACGTAGGACTTTTGCCTTGCAGACAACCAACCTGGGTTTGATCCCTGGCATTCTACAGGGTCCCCTGAGCAACGCCAGGAGTGATTCCTGAGTGCAAAGCCAAGAGTAACCCCTGAGCATTACTGGGTGTGGCCCCAAACAAATAAATAAATAAAAATAAACCAGTATGAGGTTTTCGGTGTGGTCTTATTCTTGTCTACCAAAGGGCATTTCCCCAGCCCCGGCAGAGACTCACCTTTATCCTTCCGGCTCTTCTGGAACCCCAGCTGGGAGTCTTTGTTGAGGCCCATGCCCCAGACTTTCGTCACATCCCTGGTTTTGGAGGAGAGCAATGTGAATCCGTAGCCACATGCCGCAGATGAAATCTGTGGGGGAGAGTTTTCGGCAAACATTCAGCCGTGTGTGAGCTCAGTATCACCAGGAACGTTTGTTCTGTTGGGGGGTTGGGGCCCTACCCGGCGATGCTCAAGGATCACTCCTGCCAGTGTTCAGGGAGGGATGGCACCCAGGTTGGCCCCATGCCAGGCAGGCGCCTTCTGCACTAAACTCTCCCTCTGGCTGCCCCAGGAATCAAAGGCAGACTGGCAGACCCAACCCAAGGACACCTTGGACTAGGAGAGAGAAAGGGGACGCTGACCCACATCACAGGCCTGCCCTCCGTGTCATTTCAACTGCATGATCCCCTGAGCAGTTAGACTGGCATGCCTCTCTCTTCTCTCTGTCTCTCCCTCTCCCTTCCTTTCTCTCTGATAATAATAGACTCAGGGGCCAGAGTAAACGTGCAGCAGGTAGGGTGTTTGCCTTGCACACAGCTCACCTGGGTTTGATAGCGCCATTCTAGATGCTCCCCCCCAAGCCCAACCAGGAATGATCCCTGAGCACAGAGCCAGGAAGGAAGCCCTGAGCACTGCTGGGTATGGCCCCAACACCAAAAATAAAGTTCTAAAACGTCATTTTTCTTTTGAAATTTTCCATCAGTGAGGTATAAGGAGTCCTTTTGTTTATCTATTTTGGCTTGGGGGGTCACATCAGCAGTGCACAAGGCTTACTCCTGGTTCTGCACTCAGGTATCACTCTTGGAAGGATCGGGGGGACCAGATAGGGTGTCAGGGACCAGTCCCAGGTCCAGCAGCATGCAAGGCAAACACCCTACCACTCTACTATCACTCCAGCCCCCTTATTTAGATTTTGGGTCACACCCAGTGATAAGAGGTTACTCCTAGCCCTGCACTCAGGAATTTCTCCTAAAGGTGCTTGGGGGACCATATGAGATGCCAGGGATCAAACCTGGGTTAAGTGCATGCAAGGCAAAGTGCCTTACCCACTTAACCATCTCTCTAGCCCCAATAACTTTACTCACTGAGTAGCTGTAGGAACTAAATGAGTCCCTATAGCTAACACCCTTACAGTGAGCAGAACCTGATTTGTGTGGTTTTTTACCGAGAGTATCTCGCCCACATGGCAAAGCCTGGCAAGCTACCCGTGCTGTATTCAATATGCCAAACACAGTAACAACAATTCTCACAATAGAGACGTTACTGGGCCCACTTCAGCAAATCGATGAACAACGGGAGGACAGTGACAGTGGCAGTTTGTTATGTCATTATTGTGACTGCCAGTAGCAGTCATTGATAGATGATAAAATCTGTCCTAGGTAACAGGGGCAGGAGTTGACGGAATCGTGCAGACGGGAACGAGCTAGCCTTGAATGCTGCCGACTCTAGCTGGGTCCCTAGCACCCCGTATGGTCCCCTCAAGCCTCACCAGGCTTGGAGCACAGGGCCAGGAGTGAGCCCTGAACACCCCCAGGTGTGAACAAAAACATAGTAGCAGAAAGTTCTCAATCCACCCTGGCAGGTCTGAGCCCTCAAGGAGAATCAAGTTCCCCCATCCCGAACCCAGGTCCTCCCGCATGCCCTGTTGGATCACTGACTCGAAGTTTCCTGAGGTCCTTTGGAATATTACCCCTGTGCTGGCGACTTTCTTCAGTGCAGCTAGGACAGGGGCCGGAGCAATTGTACAGCGAGGAAGGAGTTTGCCTTGCAGGCAGCAGACCCGGATTCAATCTCCAACATCCCAAAGGGCCCCCCCCCCCAACCCACTCTCCCACGCCGGCCCTACCAGAAGGGACCCCTGGGTGCAGAATCAGGAAAAAGCTCTGAGCACAGCTGGGCGTGGCCCCCAAACCCACCAGTCCAAATCTCTGCTCCCCCTCCCGCGTTTAGGATCCTCTGCGGCCGGAGTACCGGGGGCGCGTGTTGCAGCCGCCGCCCACCCTGCGCCTGGCAGCTTCGGTCCCCGCCCCCCTCGCAACGCTGCGCCCCCCGGGCGGACCTCCGGGGCCGCGTCCGGACCTTTCCCACCGGCTCCCAGCGGCGGGGGCCCGCTCAGCCCCCCGGCCCCCCGGGGCGCACCTTCTGCTCCAGCTCCAGGCGGTAGGGCACGGGCTGGATGCGGCGGCGCGGGCGCGGGCCGCGGGGCGCGGGCCCCGAGCCGGGCAGCACGAAGCTGGGCACGCCCAGCGCCCCCGAGAAGCTGAAGCCCCACACGAAGACGCGGTCCACGCGGGCGGCGCGCTCGCCCACGTACTGCACCACGGGCGTGGCCGCCTCGGCCTCCGCCGCCTCCCGCCGGCTCCGGGAGCGCCCGGTCACGGCCCCGCGGCCCCGGCCCGGCCCGCTCAACCGCCGCCGGCCCAGCCGAGCGGCCGCCGTCAGCGCCGCCAGCACCATGCCCCGCTGCACGCCCCAGCGGCTCCTGGGCGCCGCCATCTTGCGCGACCCTTGACCCCGCGCTCGGGCGGAAGGAGCCGCGGCCATGTTGACTGTGGGCTGAAGGCAAAAACGCTGAGGGCGGGGGTAGAGCGGGGGTGGGGTAAGGGGGGCGGGGAAGCAGCACCTGGCGGAATCCGCCGCCGCAGCGGGGACCTGGCCTTTGCTGGGCGTCCGGCAGCGCAGGATGCTCCCGTTTTTGCAAGGACCGTGCTGATTCCTGACCCCGGGAAGAGGCGTGTGAGCGTTTGCTGCCCAGCGCGTGTGCTGCACGTGCCCTCCAGGCCCAGCTGGTGTATGCTCAAGATGTGTAATTTCAGGGCTGGAGCAATCGCACAGCGGGTAGGGCGTTTGCCTTGCACAGGGCCGGCGCGGGTTCGATTCCCAGTATCCCATATGGTCCCCCGAGCACCGCCAGGAGTAATTCCTGAGTGCATGAACCAGGAGTAACCCCTGTGCATCGCCAAGGTGTGACCCAGAAAGAAAAAAAAAAAAGTGTACTTTCATGCTTTACTCTGGAGAACCTGGCCCTGGCAGGCTACCAAAAGTATCCTGCCCATAGGGCAGAGTCTGTCAGACTCCCCGTGGCTATTCAATATGCCAAAAACCAGTAACAATGATGCGTCTCATTCTCCTGCCCCTGAAAGAGCCTCGAATGTGGCACTTTATAAAAATCTCAGGTTAGGATGAAGGAGACGTTACTGGTGCCTGCTAGAGGAAATTGATGAACAGCAGGATGACAGCAATACAGTGATACATGCTTTCATAATTAATGCTGAGGTGTGTGTTGAAGCCCGCATTCTCTCTTAAGCACGTTATTTCTCTGCTCACGCTCTCATTTTCTCTCCTCCACATCAAGAACTCCAAGTAAAATTAGTTTCCTTCCCCCCCCCCGCCCCCTCAAAAAAAGTGGCTCTTATTTTCACGCACATCTGGTTGCTGCTGCCCGGAGGATCCCTTGAGGCCACTGTATTCCACGACAGGATTCCCAAAGATGAGTCCCGGGCTCCGGATGAGGCCCAAGCTCTTCCCAGCGTGGCCCAGCCGACAGCACAGCAGGGAGGGCCTTTGCCTTGAACGGGGTCAGCCCACCAAGGTTTGATCTCTGGCATCCCGTGGGGGTCTCCAAGGCAGGCCAAGAGTAACCCCTGAGTACTGCCGGATGTGGTCCTGAACCGCTCACCTGGCTCCCCTTCCAGCTAGCATGAGGTGCACAGTCCCATGGGTGTGCTAGAGATGTGAAGGGTTCTGGGGTTCCTGCGCCTCCCCAATCCCAACACATTGCTGGCTCCTGCAGAAAGGAGAGGGTTCAGGAAATGAGAGGCCCCTGGGTGGGCCCCCGTGCCTTGCTTCTTAAAGAGCTGACTCTCCCCTCTACGTTTCTCCAGGCTACCTTGGGATGGCCTCGGGCTCCCTGGTGACTGCTGAGGCGTGTCTGTGATAGGATCAGGACACTCAAGGCCTGATCATGCTGAGGGTGTGTGTCTGTACAGACTGACACAGACTCTGGAAGCCTCTAGACTCCTGCCACAGGGCTCCTGTTCTGGCCCAATGGAAGCGGCTCAGGCAATGTCCACCTCCAAAAGGACAGTTGTCCGGCTATCCCACTCCCTTATCAGGTGTCTGTGTCCACATCTGGTTATCTGTGATGGAGATTGAGGCAAACAGCCCTGCCTGAGTCAGGGGTCAACTCCTGATGGGCTTGGGGATGAGATGCAGGGGATTGAACATCAGCTGCATGCAAATCGAAGCCACAGAATGGAGAAGAGAAGCAGGAAACTCACTGGCTCTTGTCTGCAAAACCCAGGCAAGATGGTGCTTGGGGGACCATATGGGATACTGGGGTTCATAGTTGGGGTGTCCGTTGTACAGAGCAAGCCCCCTATGCATTGTACTATCTCTCCAGCCCTTTGATTTTTTTTTTTTTTTTTGCAGGGGAGGGGAGGCTTGGTACTAGATATTAAGCCAAAACTTAATAAGCAACAGAGAAATGGAGGAGGTTTGGGATCTCTCTGTCCCTCTGTCTCTATCTCTCTCCCTTTCTGCGTGTGTGTGTGTGTGTGTGTGTGTGTGTGTGTGTCTTTCTCCCTTTCTCTGTCTCTGTCTCTCCCTGAGCCAGAGACAACAGAGACAAGCTTTCTCCTACCCTGGAGCTGGTTCTGGGACTTTGGATGGAAGTTCACAACCCCGCCTGTGTGAGGCCTGGAACAGGTCCTGCCACACACACATGCACAGTAGCCATCACAACTTTTTTGTTTGAGGACCACAGCCTGCAGTGCTCAGCGTTTACTCCTGACTCTGCACTCAGGGATCACTCCTGGTGGGCTCTGGAGACCACATGGGGTACCAGGGATCAAACCTGGTTGGCCGCATCCAAGGCATGCGCCATGCCCACTGGGTTTTCATTTCAGCCCCCCCATTACAACTGTTAAGAGAGTTAATTTTTTGTTGTTGTTGGTTCAGTTTGGTTTGGTTTGGGGACCATACCCAGAGGTGCTCAGGGTTTACTCCTGGCTCAGAATTCAGGGATCGCTCCTGCGTGCAATGTCAGCTGCATGCAAGTCAAATGCCCTCCCTGCTGTGCTATCACTCCAGCCCCTTAAGAGAGTTATTGAATATTTCAATTTTTATGATGATGTATTTGTGGATTTTCTATTTTCATAAATGGAACTGCCCCTGTATGTTCGGTTTGGGTTTTGGCCACACCCAGTGGTGCTCAGGACTTGGTGCTTCAGAGTAACTCATGGCAGTGCTGGGACTGAGCCAAGCCTCCAGCCTTGCTTCAGAGCTCAGAGTCAGGGATAGCTCCCCAATGCACTGGATACGGCCCAACACTGACAAAATTATTCATTTTACATGGTCCTCCTAAATTTTTTTTTTTTTTTGCATTTTGGGTCACACCCAGCGATTGCTCAGGGGTTACTCCTGGCTTTACACTCAGGAATTACTCCTGGAGGTGCTCAGGGGACCTTATGGGACGCTGGGAATCGAACCCAGGTCAGCCACATGCAAGGCAAACGCTCTACCTGCTGTACTATGCTCCAGCCCCAATATTTCACTTTTTTTTTTCTTTTTGGGTCACACCTGGCGATACACAAGGGTTACTTCTGGCTCATGCACTCAGGAATTACTTCTGGTGGTGCTTAGGGGACCATATGGGATGCTGGGAATCGAACCCGGGTCAGCCGCGTGCAAGGCAAATGTCCCACCCGCTGTACTATCACTCCAGTCCCCCAACATTTCACTTTTAAAGGAGTAAAATGTCAAGACCAAGCTGAAGACCAGTTTGGGGAAAAAAAATCAGTGGTTTGAGATTTGAGGGACAGTTGCAGACAACTGCAATGCGAATCATAGCCACCAGGTGGCGATAGGTACCCATCATTTTTACTCCTTTCGGCGTCACAAACAGGACAAAAGGAATCAAAAGCCTCTTGGCCCCATCGGGCTTTTGTATTTTACTATAAAAAAATGTGTATTTTGCTGGCCTTATCTACCAGTTGTATGGTGGCAGAAAATTACATTTTTGATAAGATTTCTAGTTGGAGAAGACGTTTCTATAGCAAAATGTTAGCTACCCCAAAGTCTTAAAATTTCTCCCAAGCCAAGCTAAATTACCCTCTACATTCCTGACATTTCCCGTAGATTTTTGTGTTTGTTTTTTGGGTTTAGGACTACACCCGGTGGTGCTCAGGGGTTACGCCTGGAGCTGCACTCAGAAATTACTCCTGGTGGTGCTTGGGGGACTCTAAGGGTAGCCAAGCCCGGTGGGGGTGGGCTCTGTGCATGACAACAGCCTCCTGCTCCCAAACTGTCGCCACAGCTACTCCAGCAGATGTTAGATTTTCTTTTTCTTTTTGGGTCACACCCGGCGATGCACAGGGGCTACTCGTGGCTCTGCGCTCAGAAATTACCCCTGGCGGTGCTCAGGGGACCATATGGGATGCTGGGAATTGAACCCGGGTCGGCCGCGTGCAAGGCAAACGCCCTTCCCGCTGTGCTATTGCACCAGCCCCAGATGTTAGATTTTTGTTGTTACTTTGGGCTGATTGGAATTCCTTAGCCTGGGAAATAGTGAATTTAGGCTCACATGCCATCCCATCCCCCCAGCACCCAACCACTGTTTTTAAAACACAGTCATATAAAGTTCCAACACCCATTCCTTCACCAGTGAACATTTCCCACCACCAATGATCCCAGTTCCTTCCTGCTCACCTGCCTGCATTTGTGGCAGTCACTTTTCTTTTCTTCTTTTTTTTTCCCTTTTTTTGGCATCACACTCAGCGATGCACAGGAGTCACCCCTGCCTCTTCACTCAGGAATTACCCCTGGTGGTGCTCAGGGGACCATATGAGATGCTGGGAATCGAACGTGGGTCGGCCGCGTGCGAGGCAAACGCCCTACCCGCTGTGTTGTCATTCCAGCCCCAGTCACTTTTCTTCTTTCTCTTTGTCTCTCTGCCTCTCTTTCTCTTTCCTTTGGGCCTTATGATCTGCAATACAGATAGTGAAAGATTATCAGGTATATCCATTTACCTACTTTCAACACTCAGCTTATCTGGGTTCTTTAAACGTTTGTAAGGGCTTTTTGCTGTGGCAATTTTATGATGATTATTTTTGGGGGGTGCCCACATCTGGCTGTGCTCATGTCTTTCTCCTGGATCTGCACTCAGGGGTCACCCCTGACAGTGCTCAGGGGACCATATGGGCTGCCAGGTTGGCCAGGTACAAACCAAGCACCCCTCCTGCTCTCTCGGGCCCCTGATGAATATTCTCGTAGGTTTCCTTTTGTGCTTGTGTAAGCATTCTCTCCTGAGTCAATACAGATAATGGAACTGCGGGGTCAGAGAAAACGCTCATTTCAAAATGCTTAATAGCTATTTTTCCAATTGTTCTCCGAAAGTTTCCCTTCAGGGAGACAGCTCAAAGTGCTTGTACTGTGCATTTGGAAGGCCCTGGTTTGATCCTGGACGCCACCTGCTCCCCTCAGCACCACCCCTCAGCGACAGGACAACTCCACGTAGCCTCCAAGTCCTGCTGGGTGTGGCTGAAAACCAAAACCACCGCACAAAAGGAAACCCCAAAAGTTGTTCTCAATAGGATAGGAGTTGGATTGGTTCTTCTGTACACACGATAGCAGACTTTCGGAAAGCTTGTCCACCTGATACCCAACACAAGGCTCGTGGTCATTGCTTTCCTTTGTTTCTGTAACCCGGGCAGGCTGCACACCTGTGCGTCCTGCCTCCCAGCTTCCCTCTGTGATGATCGCTTGCTATTCGTGTCCTGGGCCATCTGTCTACTGGCTCGTTACAGAAGAAACAGATATCTGAAACCCTTTGTTAGAAACTCTGTTCTGTGTCGCCTTTTGGCTTAATTTACGCTGTCTTTTGTAGCAAGAAACTATATTTGGTATTTTTTTTAATTTTTATTAATCTTATCCATTGAAGTTATTGCTTCCTGTGACTTGTTTAGGAAGTCTTTTATGCAAAGTACTATGAAGGTGTTCTGTAAAATGTGTAATACAGTGGATCTCTCATATTTCCATGTATATTTATTATTGGGCTGGAGCGATCGATAGCACAGCAGGTAGGGCGTTTGCCTTGCACGAGGCTGACCCAGGTTCGATTCCTCTGTCCCTCTCGGAGAGGCTGGCAAGCTACTGAGAGTATCTCGCCCACACGGCAGAGCCTGGCAAGCTCCCCATGACATATTCGATATATCAAAAACAGTAACAAGTCTCACAATGCAGACGTTACTGGTACCCACTTGAGCAAGTAGATGAACAAACGGAGGACAGTGCTACAGTGCAGTGCTATAGATATATATTTTTTTTTGCTTTTTAGGTCACACCCAGCGATGCTCAGGGGTCACTCCTGGCTCATACACTCAGGAATTGCTCCTGGCGGTGCTCAGGGGACCATATGGGGTGCTGGGAATCGAACCTGTGTCGGCCATGTTGGCTGCGTGCAAGACAAACGCCCTACCTGCTGTGCTATTGCTCCAGCCCCCTGCAGTGCTCTATTTATTATTATTTGTATTTTGGTCCACACCTCACTGTGTCCAAGGCTTACTTCTGCCTTTAAACTTAGGAATCACTCCTGGTGGGCTCTGGGGGGATCATATGGGATGCTGGGGATCAAACCCAGGTCGGCCACAGGTAAGGCAAACTCCCTACCCGCTGTACTACCATTCTGGCCCTCTTTCACATTTTGCAACTGAATAGAATGGGGCCACATTTATTGGGTGGTAGTGTATTTATTGAGATTTTTCAAGCGGTATTTCATTGTCCCCAAATCAGTGTTACCTAGGGAATCTGAAATGTGATTTCTCACATAAAGGTTTCTATTTATGTGGGTAAACTTCTGGGAACACTTTTTTCGAGGGAAGGGATGTCAGGATACACCCAAAAGTGTTCTAGGGTTCATTCCAAGCATTGTGCTCAGAGGTCACTCCTGGTGGGGTGCTTGGTGGATCGAGTGTGCAGGAGACTGGACCACGGTCTGGACCACACAAGCATCTGAATCGCCGGACCATCTCTCTGGTCCTGGAAATGCTGGAAGTCCCTTACTACTGAGGAATAATATGACCAGCCTTCAACCATGACAAGTTCATCAAACCTTCTGATTTTTATGCGAACGGCCTATTCTTCTACAAAAGTGCTGTTCATAACATTTACTTCCACGGGAAATTTTAAAATCATCTTGTCACTTCGCATCAAAAATCCCACAGGGGTTTTTTATTGGAACTGCACTGAATTCACAAGCTAATAGAGAAATTAAGGCAGAGAAACTGAAATTCAGGCAAGTCTGCCTCTCCCGGCAGCAGCGCCCGCCCAGCACCATCAGTGTCAGTCATCCCAGCTAGATTCAGTTTTCTGCTGGTAGAGAAGCTCTCTAGGTTTTGGAGAACAAGACCTCCCCTTTGTTGCAGTGCGATTGTCTCCAATTTACTTGGCTTGCACACCTACCGGTAAGATTTGTGGGTAGGGGAAAGTGTGTGTATGCAGAATCTCATACACATACTCTACTGGTGCATCTACAAAGATGCACTTATTTTGGGGGGTTTGGGTTACACTAGCTGTGCTAAGAGATCACACTCCTGGCAGGATTTAGAGGCCCAGCCTGTGCAAAAGCCAGCACCCTACCCACCAAGCTATCTCTCCAGTCTCTAAAAACGTTTGTAAGTAACGAGATAGACTGAAAAAAAAAAATCCCTAAACAAACGTACTGTCTTCTAACCCAGATATTGATTTAAATATAGCAGGAGTGGAACTGAAATTCAGCGGGACAGTTGCTTGCCTTGCATGCATGAGTTCCATCCAGCGGGGGGGGGGGGGGGGGGGGGGGGGGGGGAAGTGGGGGGGAGATGCTGCAGCTGTGGTACTGCGGGTAGGAGTCCAGTAACGTCCCTCCCCCCTCTCCCCTCCCCCCACACACACACCGCCAAGGGTGAAGTCCTAGGGGCTGGAGCGATAGCACAGCGGGTAGGGTGTTTGCCTTGCACCTGGACCTCCCGGGTTCGATTCCCAGCATCCCATATGGTCCCCCGAGCACCGCCAGGAGTCATTCCTGAGTGCATGAGCCAGGAGGAACTCCGGAGCATCGCCGGGTGTGACCCAAAAAGAAAAAAAAAAAAAAAAGAGTGAAGTCCGAGCAACGCCGCGTGTAGTTCCCTCCCTGCACACAAAAAAATACACAACCTGCAATTAATTGGTCGCACGTCTCCACCAGCCTGTCCTCCCGTGGCCTATTTTTAAAAAGGACAAAGGTCCCTGGGCCAGCAGGAGGCTGGAGCAAGAACTGGCGGGGGTTAGAGGGGGCGCTGGCCTTGCACGCGGCCGCCCCGGGTTCGATCCCCGGCACCCCGCTGGGGGGGTCCCCAACCCCGCCCCCCGAGTCCCGCCAGGTGCAAGCAAGCCCCGAGCGCCGCCGGGGAGACCCCCCAAAGGAGCCCCCCGCGGCAGCGGCGGCGGCCCGCGAGCCCCGAGTGCGGCCCCGTTTGGGGGCGGCGCTCGCCGCGCGGACACGCGCCCGCCCCTCCGCGCGGGCTTGCAGGCGCGGCGCGGCCCCCCGAGCGCGGCCGGAAACGCGGGCTCCCACTTGGGGCGCTCGGGCGCCCGCACCGACGCCGCCTCCAGGAAGCCAAAAAAAAGAGAGAAACGGAAAAGCGAAAAGGGAGAGCGCGGCCAGGGGGAGAAGAGCGGGAGCAGCCGCGCGCGCGCGCGCCCGCCCGCCCGCCCCGGCGTCCCGCGGCCGGCCCCGAGGCGCCCGCAGGTGGGTACCGCGCCCCGCCGCCTTCCGGGGCCGCGGGCGGGGCGGGCGAGGCGGGCGCGGCGGCGAGAGGCGCCCCCGCGGCTCCCCCGGAGCGCGGCCCGGGGTGGGGGTGGGGCGGCGGGCGGCGGGCGGTGGGGCCGCGGCCGCACGCGCCGGGCCGGGCCGGGCCGGCCTCCGGATTGGGCGAGCGCCGGCAGGGGGCGGGGCCGCGGAGGTCTCGGCTCTCGCGCGGCGGGCGGGCGCGTCTGATTGGCTAGCGCGGGGGGGGCGGGCCTCCCGGTTGCCCGGTGACCGCGCCCGGGGCGCCTCCCGCAGCGCGACCCGGCCGTCGGATTTCGCGCGCCAGTTGGTGCGGTGCTTGGGGTGGGGGGTGCGTGTGGGGAGTGGGGAGGACGCAGCAGGATCGCGGCTCGTGAGCTGCCCTGGCTCTGCATTAGCGTCGGAGGAGGACAGAGCCCACCGGGGCTGTGTTCTCTGCCGTCCAAACCCGATCTTTGTTCAAGGGAACGCCGTAGAAATCGGGGGTTGGGGGGCACTGGGGGGATGGATCCTGGGTCGGCCTGCTGGACTATTGATGCCCCGGCCCATGCAGTTCACCTTTTTTTTTGCTTTTTGGGTCACACGGGGCCGTGCACCGGGGTTACTCGTGGCTCATGCGCTCAGGAATTACTCCTTTTTTTTTTTTTTTTGCTTTTTGGGTCATACCCGGCTATGCACAAGGGTTACTCCTTGGCTCCACACTCAGGAATCACCCCTGGCGGTGCTCAGGGGACCATATGGGATGTTGGGAATCGAACCTGGGTCAGCCGCTTGCAAAGCAAACGCGCTACCCGCTGTGCTATTGCTCCAGCCCCAGGAATTACTCCTGGCGGTGCTCCGGGGACCATATGGGATGCTGGGAAGCGAACCGGGTGGGCCGCGTGCAAGGCAAACGCCTTACCCGCTGTGCAATCGCTGGAGCCCCAGTTCACCTTTTTTGGTTTGGTTTGGTTTGGTTTGGGGACCACACCCAGCGATGCTCAGGAGGTGCCCAGAGGTTGCAGGGTATCAAAACAGGTTCTAACCCGCCCCCTAAGGCACGTGCCCACCCCACTGTTCCTTGGCTCCTCATGGCTCTTCCAGCCCTAATGTTGACTGAGATGGTCATTCTGGAAGGGCTGGAGCATGTGCTTTGCATGAAGGAGCCCCAGGTTCCAGGTGGCGCCTGGTCCTTCAAGCACCAACCTGAGACACCCTCCCCCCCAAAGCAAATGATGTATTTGTGATTTTTTCAGTTTCCTCAGGGAGCTGTGCACCCATTGCACAGTCTTTAGAGGGCTGTCAACCCCCTCGCCCCCAAAAGCAGATTTTCTTATCCCTTCCCCCTTCTCCCCACTCTTGACTGTGACTGCAGATAAACCTTGACGCTTCCTCTTCTGGTGGTTTCCTGGAGGGGAGAATTCGCCTGCAAAGTGCCTAGTGTGTTGGCTTCTTTCTTTCCTTTGGCTGAAATACTCCAGGGCCAGGTTGCGCCATTTTCCTTTTTCATTTTCCTTTCTCATGTGTTGGTGGGTATGGTGGCTGTCCCCGCATGTCTCTTGTGAGCAGTGCACATGGGTTTCTGCTCTGGAATATTTACCAAAGGCCAAATACTGTTTGGGGAGGCAAAAAAAAATTTTGTTTCATGTTGGTGGACTGAGGTCAAAGGGTGTCTGGAGGTAAGTGTGGAAGCTGGCAGCTGGACTGTTAGCTCAGGAGATTCTTCTCCCTTTTCCTCCCAGTGGGAGAGGTAGTTAAGCGGGTGGTGCCCGCTGTGGTGCCCAGGACGGGGAGTGGGTTCTCCCAGCCAGCTCTGACCCCTTCTTCTGTTGTCTGGTTTTGGGGCCACACCCCGCTGTGCTCCAGGTTTCCTCCCTCTTGGGGCTGTGCTCAGGGATCACTCCCGACAGTGCTGGGGATTCAAACTCTGTCAGGAGCATCCGGTGCAGGCTCCCGGACCCCTGAGCTGGCCCTCGGGCCCTCGTGCCCCCTCTTTGAGTGTGCACAACTGTAGCCTTGCTGATGAAGCCAGAACTCTTTTTTTTTTTAATTTTTATTAGTGAAACACCATGAGGTACAGTTGTAGACTTACAAATTTTTGTGCTTGGGTTTCAGTTATACAATGATCAAATACCCATCCCTCCACCAGTGCCCATTTTCCACCACCACGGGTCCCAGTATCCTTCCCACCCTCATCCCCCATCCCACCCTGCCTCTGTGGCAGGGCATTCCCTTTGGTTCTCTCTTTCCTTTTGGGTGCTGTGGTTTGCAGAAGAGGCATTGGGTGGCAATCATGTTCAGTCTATAGTCTACTTTCAGCATGCTTTTCCCATCCTGGGAGGATCCTTCCAACACCCTTTATTTGGTGCTCTCTTCTCTCTCTGAGCTGCCTTTTCCCCTCGCATGTGCGGCTGAGGCCAGAACTCTTGGGAGTTTTGCTCGTGTGCCTCTGCCCGCCTCCCTCCGACAGGTGACTACACCTTTCCTGGCCCTTTTCAAGGATGCTGGCGGTGTATTTTCCCTTTATGAGCTCCCACTTTGCTGTGTCCATGCAGGCTCTCCAGAGCATGCTGGGCTTAGGCTCTCTGCCCCTCTGTGTCTACCCCTGCCCTGGCCACCAGCAGTACATCTCCCACCACGCGGGTATTGGGCATGTTTCTGCTGAACAGTGAATGAGATGGGCACGTGGGTCTCTGTAATTTCCTTCGCTCTGGGCCTGGGCTGAGCTGCAGAGAAAGAGAAAAAGCTGTTTAACATCAAGACTGTAAATATTAACCTTGGAGTGAATGGGAAAGCCCTAGACATTTTTTTAAAATAATAATCATAAAAATAATAAATTCAGGGTCAGTGATAGTCCAGCAGGTAGGGGCTCTTGCCTTGCACATGGGCAGCCTGGATTCAATCTCCAGCAACCCCCATATGGTCCTCCAAACCCTTGGGGAGTGATCCCTGAGCACAGAGCTAGGAGTAAGTCCTGAGTACCACCAGGTATGGCCCAAGAAAGAAAAGAAACCAAGCCACAGAGCTTAAGGCACTGTGGTTCATCCCCCCCCCCCCCCGCCCCAGATAGATCCCCTGAGCACTGCCAAGAGTGAGCACTGAACACTAAGCCAGAAGTCAGCTTCCAGCATTGTGGCCCAAAACACACACCCCGATTTTTCTGTTTTAAAAGAAACTTCTTCAAGGGCCGGAGCACGAGGAGAACAGGTAGGGCATTTGCCTTGCATGTGGTCAACCTGGGTTCTATCCTCGGCATCTGATAGGGTCCCTTGAGCACCACTGGGAGTAATTCTTTTTTTCTTTTTTTTTTTTTTTTTTTTTTGCTTTTTTGGGAGCGATAGCACAGCGGTAGGGCGTTTGCCTTGCACGCAGCCAACATGGCCGACCCGAGTTCGATTCCTCCGCCCCTCTCGGAGAGCCCAGCAAGCCACCGAGAGTATCTTGCCCGCACAGCAGAGCCTGGCAAGCTCCCCATGACGTATTCGATATGCCAAATACAGTAACAATAAAGTCTCCAATGGAGACGTTACTGGGCCCGCTCGAGCAAATCGATGATCAACGGGAAGGCCTTTACTTTTTTTTTTGGGTCATACCCGGTTATGCACAGGAGTTACTCTTGGTTTATGCACTCAGGAATCTCTCCTGGTAGTGCTCGGGGCACCATATGGGATGCTGGGAATCGAACCTGGGTCAGCTGAGTACAAGGCAAACGCCCTACCCGCTGTGCTATTGCTCCAGCCCCTAGGAGTAATTCTTTTTTTTTTTTTTAATTTATTTATTTATTGAATCACTGTGGGAAAAGTTACAAAGCTTTCAGGTTTAAGTCTCGGTCATGCAATCATCAGACACATTTCCCTTCACCAGTACTTATTTTTCACCAAGAAGAACCCCAGTATACCCCCCCTAATGCCTGTGAGGCAGATGAATTCTAGTTCACACTCTATCTACTTTGATTAGATTCATTGTTTCGACAAAACATGCACCATTATTATTTAGAGCTTACACCCCGAAATCAAACCTGTTGAAAAGACATTGTGAAATAATTTGTTTCTACAGCTGGTTACAAGAATCAAATGCACGATTTTGGATTTCTGATATTTTACTTATTAAGCCTGGAAGTATTTCTGGGGAGAGTCAGAGAATTATGAGATTGGTTTCTGTGGCTCTAGAGCCATGGCCGTGCTGGAGAGCTGCTCGCGAGTAGAAGTAATTCTTGAGTGAAGAGCCAGGAGTGACCACTGAGCATCGCTGGGTGTGGCCCCAAGACCAAATAAATCAGATAAATAAATAAAATGTCTATGATTCATCGGGCTGGGGCGATAGCACAGCAGGTAGGGCATTTGCCTTTTACACGGCCGACCTGGCCAACCCAAGTTTGATTCCTCCGCCCTTCTTGGAGAGCCCGGCAAGCTACCGAGAGTATCTCACCCACACAGCAAAGCCTGGCAAGCTACCCGTGACGTATTCGATATGCCAAACACAGCAATAAGTCTCACAATGTTTCTGGGCCTGCTCGAGCAAATCAATGAACAACGGGAGGACAGTGACAGTGATGATTCATTAATTGTTGGTCCTTATGCCTATTATTTTATGTGCACGCTTAGGAAGCCTATTTTATGTGTGGCACAGACACTGCTGGAGCTGCAACTTAACATAAAACCGATTCAGTGGCCATCGGGCGTGTGGGCTGCGGCTGACTGTGCAGACAGGTGCCTGCTGCCTTGTCAGGGGCCTCTGGACAGGGGCTTCTCTTAATAGTTGGTGGGAAAGCTTCTAAGTAGGTTTTATTTGGGGTGTTCTATTAATGTCTGGTTCGGTTCCTCCGCCCCTCTCGGAGAGCACGGCAAGCTACCGAGAGTATCTCGCCCACACGGCAGAGCCTGGCAAGCCACCCGTGACGTATTCGATATGCCAAACACAGTAACAACAAAATCTCCAATGGAGACGTTACTGGGCCCGCTCGAGCAAATCGATAAACAACG